ATGAGCTGGGATGTCCTCAGTTATCCCCTGCTGATCTCAGCCAAGAAGGAAGACTTTCCTGCCAATCAGTGAAACTATTAGAGCGATCCACAGAGCTCACACGGCTTTGACAGGAGTTGTGCAAACAGCAGCTTGCATATTTCATTCTGAACATCTAAAATTCATTAAGCCGGGCTGCATAAACACTGAAGGATGTTTGCACTGAGAAATAACTCGCAGGGAGATTAAACCAGATCAAGGTTGACAGTTTTTAGAATTTGAAGGACTTAAACAATAAAAGCAAAGGCTGTGAATGCTGAGCACAGATCAGACTGTAAAGATTAGCAGGAAAACATCGTCCCCACTCTTCACCAAGCCCCCTTCTTGTCTCGTTTTGGTTAACACTAATAAAGGTTAGCCGCTCGGCTTCATTAAACATCGCCTGTGCCATCCAGCTCCTAAGCAGCTAGGATCAGTGTCAGCATAAAGTCCCTGCTTGGGTGATTTCCCAAAGTCTCTCGTTTTTGCCAAACCAAACAGGCAATAATCCAAGTCCTGCCAGAGTCAGAGCTGCCGTACAGCTAGATCAAAAAGCTCTGTGTCTGTCAGAGCGCCAGCCTTTACAGAGAACGTCATGCTGCTGAAGAACAGAATGAGCTGCTTTCATGATCCACTCCTGGCTCATCTTAAAGGTCACCCAAGTTAAGGACCCCTTAAGAAGAATTTGTAAACACAGCATGACTGTTGTTTCTCTTTTTCTATATAAAGAAGGCTTCAAACATGGAAAGTACAACTGTTCAAACACAGATACACCAAAAAAACCCATAAGTGTGTTCATCAGCCCAGATTTGGCTTATCTGTGGGAAACCAACAGTAGAAAAAATGATAGGGGACAAACAGACTAAATGAAACAAGCAGCCTGAAATTCATGGAGAGTTAAATCAAACTTTACAGGTAAATAAATCACTACTTTAACAAAAATCATGTAAAAAAACAAACAAAACATCATTGCGGACAGACCATGTTCGGCTCAAACACTGAGCAGAGGGAAACTTTCTGCAAATTCTGACAAATTTTTCAAGAACTAAAAGGGAAGGTCTGACCAAGTTCTCCAATCTAAGTTTCTATCATATTTCTTTAGCTCTTCTCTTTTACTACTGTGAGGTTTTATTTTTATTTTTTTTTAGGGGTTTAACTAAAACAACACCAGAAATAAAACAATTTTAAAACTTCTACACTGTTTAAAGCCATTTCTTTAACTACCAACCCATCCGGAAAAATCAGGAATTTAAACTAATTTCCTTCAGTTGGTTTATGTCTCCAAACTTTTGACATAACCTAAAATATGGTTTAAAAGAAGTGTTTTCAAACAGCATTAAACATGGTCAAAGTTCCTTTTTTATAATCAACTGAAAATCTTTTATCAAATCAGAATTTTGTTTTTCTAACCGATTCAATTCTCCTTAAAGACTTAAGGAAGGCCTCTTTACCAGCACCATCATCTTTACTCTTATAAGAATTTTAGAGCAATAATAAACTGTAGACCAGAAACTCCTGACATGATTCAGGGATGAACTGGATTCCTACAGGATTTTAGGTACGACAGCAATGATAACCTGTTAAAACACTTTTCTATAAAAAAAAAGAAAAGAAAAATTATTTAAACTCTCCTCTCTGCAGGAGCCATTGGATCCAGGTGCTGGACCACAGCCAGACATTCTAGCCCATTACGTAAAGCTCCCTGTTACTAGAGAAGCGTGGTGAGATAGCCGCTGCAGCGACGGCTCTTTCCCACCGCCAACAGGAAGGTCTGTGTGAAAAGGAGAAGCCGCGTCGCTCCAGCGGTTCAGGGCGGCAGAGAAAGGGTTGATTATTACCAAACTAAGTCACATAAATAACCAGAACGTTCTAAGATCACCTCTCCTCTTGGGGCAGAAATGATCTTTTTCTCAGAACAGTTTTGACCATTAGACCACTTAACGTTTTTATTTACAAAGCATCCGATATTAGAAGTAAGACAGGTTCCTCGGCTGTTCAGATAATCATTTAGGACTACGTTCCAAAACTAAAATCCCCCAACCAAAAGCTGTTCTCCTCTCCTGCAAATGATAAACCTCAGGTTTCTGAAATGTAACACTTTTCCAGCATGTTTTTTGTCGACCTTTAACCAAACACATTTCATTAATTGTTTGAACAACGAAGGACACTGTGATGAAAGGATCAAATAACGTCCTGCGGTCGGCCTCTGAGAAGTTAAACTCTTCCTCATCAGGGACTGTATTAATCACAGCGCTGATCATCAGCATCTATATGGAAACATCCTTGCTTCAGTAAATAAACCACACCCACTTGAAAGAAATTGGACTTGTATTTCATAAACAAAGAACCCAGGGATGATTTTGACTTGAACTCTAAAGATCCGACTCTCACTGAGGAGATTTTGTTGTTTGACATGTAAATATAAGAGCTAGACATAGTGAGGCCAGATGTCCCCCTGCTAACAGTCAGTGAGCCACAGATCGCCTAGAACCACAGGCCGTTAACTGTCCATAACCGTATCTTCTCGTGGACGGTCTAGTTAGATGGATTCATGTCTAACTCATTAGGATATTTACCCAGGAGTCAGTGTCAAGGGGAAAACAAAAAATTAAGAAAAATCCCCCAAAATATCGAAACTTTTTGTTCTGTCAATATTTATCAAGAAATGTAATATATTTACATGAAAATTTGAACTTGGGTTTGTGGTTAAAAATTTTAGTTTTCCAAATTCATTTCACAATGTACTCCCCCCTTATTTTCTGTCAACGTTGATTGATTGATAAACAGAAGAACAGACTCCCGGATGGATCAATAAATCAATAAATAGAGCAAAGGAGCAACAAAAAGACTCATAGACATCATAAAGTAAATGAGGGAATGGATAGATTGTTGGACATATGTGTTTATATATATATATATATATATATATATATATATATCCATACATACAGGTGCTGGTCATAAAATTAGAATATCATGAAAAAGTAGATTGATTTCAGTAATTCCATTTAAAAAGTGAAACTTGTATATTATATTCATACATTACATACAAACTCATATATTTCAGATGTTTATTTTGTTTAATTTTGATGATTACAAATGACAACAAATGAAAATCTCAAATTCATCATATCAGAAAATTAGAATATTGTGAAAAGGTTCAAAATTGATGGCCCCTGGTGCCACACTCTAATCAGCTAATTAACTCAAACCACCTGCAAAAGCCTTTAAATGGTCTTTCAGTCTAGTTCTATAGGCTACACAATCATGGGGAAGACTGCTGACTTGACAGTTGTCCAAAAGACGACCATCGACACCTTGCACAAGGAGGGCAAGACACAAAAGGTCATCGCTAAAGAGGCTGGCTGTTCACAGAGCTCAGTGTCCAAGCACATTAATAGAGAGGCGAAGGGAAGGAAAAGATGTGGTCGAAAAAAGTGTACAAGCAAGAGAGATAACCGCACCCTGGAGAGGATTGTGAAACAAAACCCATTCAAAAATGTGGGGGAGATTCACAAAGAGTGGACTGCAGCTGGAGTGAGTGCTTCAAGAACCACCACACACAGACGTATGAAAGACATGGGTTTCTGCTGTCGCATTCCTTGTGTCAAGCCACTCTTGAACCACAGACAGCGTCAGAAGCGTCTTGCCTGGGCTAAAGAGAAACAGGACTGGACTGCTGGTGAGTGGTCCAAAGTCATGTTCTCTGATGAAAGTAAATTTTGCATTTCCTTTGGAAATCAAGGTCCCAGAGTCTGGAGGAAAAGAAGAGAGGCACTTCATCCACGTTGCTTGAAGTCCAGTGTAAAGTTTCCACAGTCAGTGATGGTTTGGGGTGCCATGTCATCTGCTGGTGTTGGTCCATTGTGTTTTCTGAGGTCCAGGGTCAACGCAGCCACATACCAGGAAGTTTTAGAGCACTTCATGCTTCCTGCAGCTGACCAACTTTTTGGAGATGCAGATTTCATTTTCCAACAGGACTTGGCACCTGCACACAGTGCCAAAGCTACCAGTACCTGGTTGAAGGACCATGGTATCCCTGTTCTTAATTGGCCAGCAAACTCTCCTGACCTTAACCCCATAGAAAATATATGGGGTATTGTGAAGAAGAAGATGCAATACACCAGACCCAACAATTCAGAAGAGCTAAAAGCCACTATTAGAGCAACCTGGGCTATCATAACACCTGAGCAGTGCCACAGACTGATCGACTCCATGCCACGCCGCATTGCTGCAGTAATACAGGCCAAAGGAGGCCCAACTAAATACTGAGTGCTGTACATGCTCATACTTTTCATGTTCATACTTTTCAGTTGGCCAACATTTCTATAAATCCTTTGTTTTTATTGGTCTTCAGTAATATTCTAATTTTCTGATATGATGAATTTGAGATTTTCATTTGTTGTCATTTGTAATCATCAAAATTAAACAAAATAAACATCTGAAATATATGAGTTTGTATGTAATGTATGAATATAATATACAAGTTTCACTTTTTAAATGGAATTACTGAAATCAATCTACTTTTTCATGATATTCTAATTTTATGACCAGCACCTGTATACATATAGATAGATATATCATGTGTCTTATATATATGACATGTGTGTTATTTATATATATATATATATATATATATATATATATATATATATATATATATATTTTACACATACTGAAAAGTTGTAAATTTATGTAGACAATGGATGAAGACACCAGGCATGAGATTGGTGTTTTCTGTAGTTCTTTCAGCCACTAAGTCAGCCTATAAAACCTTTAAATGTTTAAATTACTCCAAAAATCTAAATGTAAATATTTGTATTAAATTCTGATGCTTGTTTTGGAGACATTAAAGTCCTATTTTGCTCTTTCTGGCAATAGTATGAATGAGCTTCACAAAAACAAATAAAAATAACTGGTGTTTTCAGCAGCCATATGGCTCGGCCACATAAAAGAGGAAGTTACTACGCAGTTAAACTCACCTCCCCAGCTCGTCTCCTATTTCATAAAATTCCTCCACATTGTCCGGGTTGAAAACAGTCATGATGTCCAGGCGTTGGGCTTCTCTGAAGGGAACCCCGGCTGCTCACAGCATCCTGACCAGCGGCAGCCTCTGGCCGGGGCCGATCCTCCTCATAGCTCGGGCTTCCTGTAGCATGTGGAAGAGACACAGCCGGCCGGTGAGAGCTGCTGGGAGACGGCCAACAATAGGGAGACATGAACCTGCAGCTCCAGGACGACGTCACGGTCCTTCCTCCCAGTCCCTACCAGCCGCTATTGTTCTCCCCACTTTATCTTTTTATTAATATTGCATTAAAAGGCTGCTGCCGCTTTTACAAATGTCCGGTTTATACCATCACCGGTGGGAATGAGAAACCCACGGGGCGCGTGCTGTAGCCAGGGGTAACCAGTTAAGCTACAGGGAGAAAATGACTGCTGAGTTCAAGTCATTTATCCCAAATTATGACCAAAGAAAACCAGGACAGGTGCCTAATACCTAAATGGAAAAAAATATATATATCCTGAAAACAACCTAACCTCTGAGTTTTTCTTCTCCTAAATTGCAATAATGAGCAGCTCATCGGTCATTTTATAGATATTCCTCCACTGCAGTCCGAAAAATCTACATAAAAGCTTCAGTGACCGTTAACGCCCCTTTCTTTACGGTCCCCCCCAAAACTGAGAGAAAATGGATGAAAAGACGATAAAGTAGCTTACGGTTTGCCGGTTTGTGCCCCGCTGCAAACGAAGTCAAGGTTTCAGGCGTTTTGTGGAAGGTAGTGACCCGGGTTTGGCTCACGGAAGACAAACGCTGGCTGGAACTGGAGAAATCAACGTTAACAATGTGAGGCAGCCTACCCCTGGTGATGCCTTCAGGGGCTGTAGTAAATATTTGTGTAGAGGTGATAGCAAGTTAAGTGTACCACGCATAAAAAAGGTTTTACAAAGAAACTGCTATTTACAGATATGTGAATGTGAATAAAAATTGTGTGTGTGTCTAATGTGGATTTTGTACAAGTAAAAATATTTGTAAATTTTAGGAGGAATAAAACGAAGTTTTTATTCCATAAATGCACCACTACTATGCCGGCGGTAGGAGCCGATTATGCCACAAGAGGGCAGCAGTTTTTTTTTTACTTTTACTGCATTTAAATCAGAATTAAGGACAGTGTTTGAAAACAAAATGCTTTAATTTTGGAACCTGCTTTATTTAGTAATCACAATTGGCAAGACCCATGGAAATTTATAGAATGGGAATAAACAGGGAGAGGATAAAAATATAATAGAAACCCCAAATCTAATGTCCAAGGATCATTACATCCTGGTGAACAGCCTGAAAAAAAAATTATTATTATCATTCAATTATTTTTAATGAACTTCTGTGTTTTAAAATATTTTATGTAGAGTTATAAAAAGCAGTCTAAATATATTTGTTTGATCCTATTAAAACAGGAGACATTTTCTTTTTCCTTTTGAAAGTTGTAAAATTCAAATAAAAAATAAAAATCAGAAGGCAAGCCCCACCATGACTTACTGCATGTGAAGAGAAACATTGCTGTCAGATGCAAGGTGAACCAGGGTATAACAGGATTTTGGTGATGCTGAATGAGTTTATGATAATACCAAATATTTTCAATAAGAAGAAATGGATGCATTTTTTGTTTTGCTACTTAAATATAAAAGAAACCAGGTTTATGCCCATGCTCCTCAGAGTGTGGTACTGTGGGCTGCCGTCTGAAGAATCAGCTTTTTGTTTTTACATTGATCATTCGCAAGGTGAAAAGTAGACAAAAGGAAGGAGTTATGTGTTTTTATTCAGTCAGAAAATGACTGGTAATTGTGAATAACTTTGCACCCAAATGTTCCATTTGCAGGGTTAAAAACATTGATATCCTCACTGACTGTGCTCACTGCTATTGGCAATGGAAGCTAATAATATATTTTCTCTGTATTCCTTTTATCATTCAGTAACAGGTTCTGTGAAACTGTGTTTGTGAAAAAATTAAAAAGATGCAAACCAAAGTAGGGCATGCAAACGGCCTCATGCTCTGGCTCCCACAGGTCAGTGTGGAAGGCCGCCATATTGGATTAGATACTAGAAGGGACTTACCTGAAACTTACAGCAGAACACCCCCCCCCACCCCCACACACAAAATAACAGAGACAATAAATCCAAATCATCAAGCCTTTTACATGTCACTTAAAAATAACTACTAACTTTTTGAGTTCAGATGATTATTTCATTTCACATAACTTCAGTGTGAAGCTTCATAGATAGATAGATAGATAGATAGATAGATAGATAGATAGATAGATAGATAGATAGATAGATAGATAGATAGATAGATAGATAGATAGATAGATAGATAGATAGATAGATAGATAGATAGATAGATAGATAGATAGATAGATAGATAGATAGATAGATAGATAGATAGATAGATAGATATAGATAGAATCTCTACAATGATTGGATGTACATTTCTCACTTTTGCATCTAACACAAATATCAGGAATAAAGTTAGTTATATATGTTTACATCAACCAATTATATTACAGTTGTTTTAAATTAGTATGTATAGATGATGTCTATTCTTTTATATACTTCTCCTGAATTGAGATAATCTCATGCAGGTCTTCTCTTCAAGCCTCTTGCTGTTCCACAGAAGACTCTAAACATCCATCAACCAGGCCTTCAAATAGTTTAGAAATGAAATTCTTCCCCAAACAATTCAGTTAATTTTTAAGGCGGACATCAAAAAGATTGCCCACAATTGCTTCATGAATGTGGGTGTGAATCGGACATGCCACCCCAAATTTCTTCAAATCAAACAAAATTGGGGTCAATCCAATTAGCTGTGCAGAAAAACTTTTCATGTGTGCTGGTTTTATAAAAAAAAAGAAACATATGAATTTATCAACCATTTACTCTACATTTGTGTAGCAATTACTTTGTTTGTAAGCCTTTAATTTTGAATATAATGAACAAATCAAACAAAAATTTATCAATTAAACCATCAATTAATATCAATATTTAAAGTTATTAATAAAAGTTATAAAGGGGTCAGTAAAGGTCATCAAAGATGATAGTATGTGCTTGTGAAATGTATGTAAAAGGTTAGCAAAGTTCAGCCTAGATTCTATGCTATAAATGGAAAAATGCAGCAGAGATTCAATTCAGCTGTTTGATTTAACTACCTTGTCCTGACATATATTAGTAATTAAGACCTCAGTTATAGAAAAGATTGGCATGTTTGGTTGCAAAATAAAAAAAAAAAGTGCAGTGAAAGCAAGAAATTTCAGTATTTAAGGTTTTTTCAGTATGAATCTGTTTTTAAAGGGTTAAACAACAAATACTCAGTAGTCAGGATGGACTGTTGTGTCTTTTATTACTGACTTCACATGACTAATCTTTATCAATTAGAGCAGCATTTTTGTCACCAAAGAAAACCAATAAAATAGCTGTAAAATGTGAAGATCTGCTTCCTTATGAAAATTAATGAAGAAACATGATCAAATAATGAGAGCCAGTTTGAGAGGGAGCAGAGAACTTAGTTCACAAAGAACACAAAAGTAATTTATGGAAAACTGAGCAGTATTTAGACCTAGTTCTGGTTTTGGATGAACTGGAACAATAATACTTAACATCACGGTGACATGTTCTCTCTGTGATGCTCAGGTTTGTTCTGGTAATCAAACTTAAATAATTTCTTGAAAAAGAAGCAATCAAAACTTAAATCTAAAACTTAATAATGGTATTAATATGTAAAAAAAAAATCATACCCATGCTTTTATATGATAGTTTCCCTGAGTAATTAAAGTATACATGTAAAAACAAATGCTGAGACTAAAACAAGCGTAATCCATATGTGTTTGTTTCTTATGGAATCAAAGGATCTTGGAGAAACAGGTGAGCATTTTAAGTGACCGAAGAGGAGATGAGGACATCTGCTGGGTGGAAGAGGGATGCAGAAGCATTCCTGCAGCCAAACATGATTTAAACCTATTTTCCCAATTTTAAAGACTTGGAAGTTTGTTACACATTTCAAGACATTTCTGTTGAGATACTAAAAAGCAAAGATGCAAAACTGCTTTTTAAAATTTGTTCCACAATATAAAAAATACAATTTATATGTGTTGCATTCAATTGTAATTTTTTTCTCAGTGAGACTGAAGGCTTTTTATTCATTTTTTGTTTTGCTGCATTGAGTCACAGACTAAACCAAAAGGCAAAAACATTTTTTGAAGAATCTTTCAGATCTCTTTATTACAAATAAACTGTCTGAAATGTATAAAAAAAAAATGATAAAAATATGTGTTTTATATGTGATCATATATACATTTCCATCACCATGGCAACACATGCAGCTAAACAGCACAAAGGAAAACAGGAGGTTATTTCTGCAGAAAGGCACAACTTTGAATACATTCTTCCACTGTTTGGTGGCAACATTAAATTAATTACTGGAAATTTTACCCTTGAGAATGAGAAGCATAGATACTCCTATGCATACAGAAGCCCTTTATGATCTGGATAAAAGTATTGCATCTGTTAGCTGCCATGCAAAACATCCACTTTTCAGCAAAGGTTTTTAGTACAACAAACTAAAAAAGGCGAAGGTATTGTCCTCTGAACTAAAAACTGTGCTTCCATAAAGGACATTTGATGACTTCAACCGCTACTTTGATTTCCAGCATCAAAATTCGTCAGGTAACCATAAAGGCAACTAGAATATATAAAGCTTCAAATATCTTTGGTTCATCAGTAGGGGCAAAGTTTAAATAGAAAATTGAAAGACATTTAAATAGAAAAAAAATTATCTCTGTCGATTTCAAACAAATGGATTAAGTTCCATATTGAAATGCATATACATGTTTTCTCATTTAATATTTGTGTAAATATAAAAATATGGAGATCTATAAAACAAAAGGCTTAGTTAGGCTGTGTCCATCAGCTGAGCAGCAGAAAAAATCCCTGCTTTGACAAAAAATGTATTGTAAATTATTAAAATACTATTCATTTTGATATCAAGGAATGTTTTTAAAGGTGATGGTGTGGACTGAAATAAAAAGGAGCTTTTAAGTGACTGATAAAAGCATCCAGCAGCAGAGTAATAAAACAAAGAAACAAAGCTACAGATGATTATTTTTTTAAATAATTACTGAACAGATGATAGATTTGTGACAAACTTCATGTTCTAAAGTTTCAGCATTTCATTTTTTTTGTCAAAAGCACCAACAACCTGACGGAGGACAACTGTTGTGAACAGATAGAAAGCTGAACCAGTGATTCTTGTAGTGTGTCTATGGTACAGTAGAGGAGATATTCCTGATATTTTCTGTCTCATCCCACATGAAGTAGCGATAACGTGCAACGCTTTAGGGCTCGTTTTAACGACATCGCTGTGGAGGTTATCAACCAAATTATTAAAGAAATATACACCATAAACATTTGCACCACGTAAAAAAAATTAAGCATATCAAAAGCTGCAGTGCAAAAAATATCATTGATCTCTTTGCTACAAGGCACGCTTTAAAAATAAAAATTCCTAAATAACACGTTTAAAGGAGAAGAATCAAAAACTGGAATAAATAAAGTAAATAATTGAAACTAAAGCATGGGAAAGCAGTAAATAATATTATTTAGCGGTAAAATGTGTTTCTGTACCTCAGGTGAAAAAGTTATTCCTTGCAAAATTAAGGATGGCCTAAAAAATTTGTTCTAACTTTTATAATTTCTATGGGTTGAATACTCGATCCTGATTGGCTGCTGCGTGTGCGTTAAAAAGCGTTGGAGGGACTTAAGGTCCAAAGCAGTCCAAAATGGAGGGAGTTTGATTGGAAAATCAAAATTAGGTGTTTTTACACTCCAATTATTAGCTTGAAGTACAGTAATACTTAAGATAAGTGTTGGAGGGGATGTGGACGGGTGGGGGATTTCATTTATATTTTGCGACTGCCCATATATTTTAAGATTTTAGGAAAATATCCAAAGAGAAATAAAACATGTCTTAGGTATAGATTTTGGCTTAGATCCAACACTCTACATACTGGGTATAGCCCCAGATGATGTTCTAGATAGTAATTTAATACCATTACTAAGAACCCTGCTTTTAATAGCAAATAAAACAACAACAAAGGCACCCAGTACAAGTGAATGGAAAGAGACAGTAGGAAGTGTGTTCTTCATGGGAGAAAATTACAGCAAAGCCACAGCTCAAGTCAGATAAAACATGATTACCATAGACTTTAATGAGAAATAGGGCAGGTAATCCACCCGCCCCATTTCTCATTTCTGATCTAAATTTATCTTTATTTAATGTATTTCATTTTTTCACACTTAATTTGTAATTCTTACACCGAATGCAGAGCAGTTTACGTTAAACGTATGTATTATAGGTTACATATCGTTCATCCTCCAGGACAAGTTAGCTTGTATTTAAGTTAAGAGAGAATAGGACAGAACGGTAATAATATCTTATAATATGTGTTTTGAAAAAGGTGTGTTGATTGTATCCAGGGCTGAAACAATTAATTGGATAAATTGTGACTAATCGATTATTGAAGCAATCATCAACTAATTTAGTAATCGGTTAATCGTTAACTGGAGTATAGAGACTGTAAAACATGCTTTTAGCCAACAGAGCTACCCACTTAGAGCAGTATTTATACCAAAATTGGAAAAATAACTGTGTAAACATTTTGCATTAAAAATAAAGATCTTCTTCATCTGTCAAAATGCTTGAGGGCAAAAGCTCTATTTTCACTTGTTTTAATTTTGCAAAAAGTCTCTTTAAGGAAGCATTTGCTATCCAATTATCAATCGATTAATTGAAAAAATAATCAACAGAATAATGGATTTGTAAAATAATCATTAGTTGCAGCACTACTTGTATGTATATTGATTTATTACATGTCAAATAAATAATGAGAAAAAAAAAGTGTAGGAGGACACCTCTATAAAAACGTTCTGGTCGAACAGCCTGATTGTTCTGATTTATTGCTCTGCCCAGAGCTGTTACCTTGGCAACGTGTCACATCAAGCACTATAAAATAGTATGTTGACCTGCTTTTTGTGAAAACTTATGATTTTAAGAGTAAAATAAAGAATCAATAATTAATATTTTTTTTCTTATTAAGTGACCATGATATAAGACAGACAACACCCTTCCCGGCGTACATTATCAGAAATGAATGGACACCTGTGGCTTTGTATCAGACGGTTCACACCAGTTCAGGCTTTCCTGGTGATGGACACCATTATTACTTACATAAACAACTGCAGACAAAATTAAATTTTTCTAAAAAGGACTAGTCCAATTGTTAGAAATTTGGGGACATTTTGGTCCATTTATCTTTCCCTAAATTTTCTTTTTTTTCTATTTTGTATTAAAAAATAAAGTATCATTTATAAAGTAGGTTTAGAATCCGGGGGAAAAGAAAGTACAGTGTTTAAATTATCGGATTAATTAAGGGAAAGGAAATGAAAGGGAAAAAAATTGGGGAAAAAAATTCTCTGATTAAATATATTTCAGAACACAAGGTTATTTATTTGGTCTTTACTGGGTTCTAAATGTATTGCAATCTATTCTTCAACTGAAATAAAAAACAGATTCAACAATTTAGTTATTCATTTTACACACGTGGAGCTAAAATAGAGAAACTGCATGAGAACAGTTAAATAATCTCTATTATTTAATAGAAACAACATCCCCTAATCATTTTGTGTCTGATTTGATCAATCTTTCACTTTATGCAGGAATATTAATCCTTCTTTTTTCCAGCTTTGCTTCAGATTCGCACTAATTTCTGCATGCTTAGAATATAGGATTATATCAATTTTATTTAGGTCTGACCATTGTAAAACACTCACTTTTTTCGGTTTTAGAAGTTCTGTTGTACGGTAGGTTTGCTGCAATAGACGGGATACCTCTCTAGAATGTATCCTGCCTTTCACCCATAGATCGCTGTAGATAGGCACCAGCCCCACCACAACCCTGACGGATACGCAGTAGAACACAGGTGTCAAACTGGTTCCAGAAAGGGCCGTGTGGCTGCAGGTTTTCTTTCCAACCAAGCAATAGCACACCAGACTCCAGTCATCTTATCAAGTGAGTCCAATCTGAACATGATGACTTGATGAGATGACATGAGTCTGGTGTGCTATTGCTTGGTTGGAAAGAAAACCTGCAGCCACACGGCCCTTTCTGGAACCAGTTTGACACCCCTGCAGTAGAAGATGGATTGAAGCTACAGGTTTAAAGCAGAGTTTTAGATTGTTGTTGGTTAAGAGAGCACCTCACAATTTCTTTGCAGTCTAAGATGACTTTACATCTTACACTGCAAAAAAAGCCCCAATAATCACACGTCGACCACCGTGCTTGACAGCTGGTTTGAGGTTTCTCTGCTAACATGCTGTGTGGCATCCTCTGAGCATGGCAGCCTGCCTTTAAAGCAAACATCTCTACTTATTTTTGTTCAGTCAGCAGCAACTTTGCAAACTTCAATCATGCAGCCATATTTTTTGGAAGGGTCCTTTCTCCAGGCAACCCTTTAAAACAAGCCATCCATATTAAGTCCTTTTCTAATCATCCTATCGTTAAATTTAACAGCTGAAAAAGGGATTTGAAATGCTCCTTAGATTATAGATGGGAAACAAACATTTTATGATGTCTTTCCTCCTTGGCATCATATTGATACACACCCATTTCTTTTAATCAAATGTAAGGCTGCAGGGTTTACTTAGTTTTATCACACAGCTTTCCTTTTATCTTTTCCATAATGGCTCCATTTCTTATTTAGCAAATGATGATAAAGAATCTGAGTGTTTTTGCAAAATTCAAGTTAGAACAGATAAACCTTTAGTATGTCCTCATATTTAAAAACTATCAAGATGTAAAAGATGTCTGACAAAGGTGTAAAGAAATGCTAGAGTTCTAACAGTTGTTTTCTGGAGCCCCTGCTTAGCTTCCCACATGTTATAAACATTGACAGTAGGAAACGTTGGAAACTGTTGGGAACTAGTGATGTTTTCAAAATAAATTTTAAAGTGATCATAATTAAAAACAAACACTATCTTTGATCTCTAAATATTTTTCAGATGGACCAAAGTAGAGCCATCGTTGTTATAATGAAAAAGCAGGAGTATAGTATTGTTGATGTTCATCACACGCAGCTGTTTTCACTGCAGCTGAACTGGATGGTGGTATCGTAGCTTTGCAAACCAAAGAACCAAAGCAGAAAAGAGTCAAGTACTGAAAGCTGTGTGCCTTGATTGTTGTTTCCTCTTCACAAAGCTCTGCTTTGCTTTCGGACTCCCAGGATTAAAAAGGTCTGGGCAGTCTGTAAACACGATGACACTTTCCCAATCACTTCTGATCCTCTGCCAGTTGATGCCTGGAAGCCAGTTCCTGTGTTTTTGAGTCTGTTATCAAGAAGCTCCTGCTGGTTCCTTTAGGTTAACCTAAAACCATTTACCTCTCAGAAGTGGTGACGCATTCTGCTGGCGTTCCTGTAACGTAACGTCGCTCCTGCTTGCCTCCAAAATCTCCCCCAGTTTGCGTCACTCTCTGCCCCCATCACAAAGGGGGATCTTTGATTGCCCTGTACATCTGCAGCGAAGTCGCCTCCACATCTGGCACCTTGGAGCTCTGGGGGCGCCCAGTGGGGCTGTAACCTGCTGACCGTCCCATAGGGCTGAAGCCTGAGGTGGCTCGCCCAACCGGGGGGAAACCCGGGGACCAAGACACAACGGCGGGACATCTTAGGAACCGACCTGATGTCACCAGGTCCCCATAGCCCTGCGTGTGCGAGAAGGCGTATCCTGAGCGTCTGGAGCTGGTGCGGCGGATTCGGGTGCGCCGGGGAGGAGGAGGAGGCGTTGCTCTGGCCTGTCTCACCTTGTACATCACCTGGAAATTAAAATAGGGAAAGAAGAAACTAATAGATATAGATATAATAGATGTCTGGGGAAACACCTGTCCAAACACTAGAAGATGTGTTTGGATTCTCTAAGCTACAGTCGGTATCACTAAGGATTTTGATAAGACATCTGAACTTAGCAAATTTAGGCAGATATATAAGAGTCTTTATTGCAGGTTTTCAAAAGCTTTTTTGTTTTCAAGTTATCAAAATAAAAACAGGTTGTTTTCATAGATGATAAATGATCCTCAAGGTTCAACATGGGCTCCTCTGCTTTTTTGCCTGCATAATAATTATTTCCTGAAAGTTTGGTTCACCTCATGTTACCTGTTGGTTGGATGTTAATGACACAATTAGATATAATGGTTATGATGAGATATAAGCAAACTACTGTTTGTGTCTTAGTGTTTGTAAAAGTATGTATATGAGATGTGAGAGATCATAATGTTTTAGAACCTAAGTAAAGTTGCCCCATCCCCACCATATTTTAATCATCTAAAGGTCGTGTGAAAAATTTGTGCTATGTTTATGCAGCAAAACATTTTTTGTTAGTGTCGCTAACGTTTTATAGATATTAAAATATTCAAGAGGTCACTAAAGGCCAACTAGCCTCCCAACCTTCTTCAAATCAAACAAAACTGGTAGCAATTAATTTGGTGATGTTTGTGCGGCAAACAGTTTTGTCTTGTGCTGCTTTTGTTAGGAAAAGTTTAAAGGTCAGAAGGTCAAACCAGCCCCCTCCACATTAAGCATATAAAAGAAAAATGGTGTCAAACTACTTTCTACATTTGTGATGCTTGTTTAGTAAAAAAACAGTTTTAGTTTGTGCTGTTTTGGTTTAAAAGTTTTTGACGAAATTTGAAGTTTGACTTTTTATTTTGGTTTGGTTGATGTTGGCTGCTCCATCTTCTGACTTCTGAACTTTCATTAATAACTTTAAAACAAAAGAACACAAACAAAAACCTTTGCCCAACTAATTTTCACCAGTTTTGGTGAAAATGACCTCATTGATTAGCCTGGGTGCCAGTCAGAACTTAGTCCCGCCCACAAGGTTTGAGTTCGGGGAAGTTCGGTCTGGCTCTGCTCCATAGTAGCGCGAGTATTATCGCCCACTGTCAGGCGATCCAATCAAATTGTCAGGGCGGGCTTTATACGATGATGGACAGATGATCAAGAGTAACGTAATCAACCACGTGACCAAAGCGCGCTAGGGTGACAACAATAATGGCTGCCGCTGGAGAGTTTGGGTGAGTAGATTCTGCTATTAGGTCTGTTCTAGAAGATATCGACAGCAAATTAATTTTAAAAGAGGAACAGAGAAACGCGATCAAGTCTCATCTTCTTATTCTAGGCGTGAAACTGCACGCTTTGATTTTTGTGGACAACAACTATGCCTCGCTTAACATACGTCACGCACTCCGTTGCTCTTATTGGTTGTAGGTCTATCCAATTGAGTGCAGAGGCATTTTTTTTCCTGGTTCGTTCGAAACACGCCCCATAATCACAGCTCTATGGAGCAGTATCAGACTCATATTCTGACTAGAATTGAGTAGGACTACGTCAGGCTACTCATTGATATCTTCTATTCTATTTTTCAAAATAGGACACAGCGTTGTAAAACCTCATGGTTCAGCATGGGCTCTTCTGCTGTTTCGTTTGCATACTAATTATTTCTTGAAAGTTTGTGCCACTACACGTTACCTTGTAGTGGCACAAACAGATTTTTTTTTTGCTTCAAAAAACAGCACACATATTTGACACCAGTTTTACTGTATTTAAATAAGGCGAGCATCAGTCAGGTAAATCACAAGGTACTAATAGATTCAACACTTAATTAGTGTGATGTATTTAACACAGCTAAAAAGCTGCAGCGACATTTCTGACACACATGAGCGCTATGCAGACTGTAAGATATTAGAAAACAATGCAGTATATTTCATTACTTGTGGGTGTTGCTGTAACAATGCAAGCTGTGCTCAATAAGATGCAAATAGTTTATGTCTTATATATGTTGATGTACATGCAGCTACTGAAAAAATACTCCTAACAGATGTATAACAATACAGTGCAATCTTTAAAAACTTACTGACATCTTCTATTCTAGCACTGAAACAGTTCTTAATGGCTTTTTAATATTTAAAGCTTTGTAAAGCTGCATAGCCAAAGAAAAATGCAGAGATCGACAGGCTGAAATAATCACTACACATTATTATTAATAAATTATGATATATTGTGGAAGCCTTTTGTCTAGTTGGACAGAAAAAAGGGACTCCACTAAAACATAAGAAAAAAATAGATAAATAACCTTTAAAAATGTGAATAAAAAAAATTAAACCCAACCCCCCTCACTGTGGAGCTTTAGGTAAAGATAGTTTACAGATAGGGAATTAGTGTGGACCATTCCGCTCTGAATAATGCCATGGAGTAATATTAAACTTGTCAAAAAGATCTCCTGTGTACTGAAATAGAATAAAACTGGATGATTTATCCTACATGGGAAGCAGGGCTTATGGAGCAGCGGACATGGCATTTTCCGCTATATTTACATTATAAGCTGGGAAGCTCATGTCAGTAATGTGAGTTTTCCCTTTTTAAAAAAAGCAAAGCAGAGGAGATATTTTAGGCAAATCACGTTCCAGGAGTGAAGCTGTACATTTGTGAGCATGCAAAGCGTATCCCTCCTCTATCCCGTACCTTGTCATTGATGGTGGGGCAGAGCTGAATCAACAGGAAACGGTAGGTAACCACGGGAAGGACGCACAGGATGGAGGTGAGGATGATTGTCAGCCAAACGTTGGGCTGATTCAAAGAGTTTCGAGCCGTTCCTGCAGCAACAAAAAGGAGGTTTGCCTCTTTTTTAAAGCACTTGTAAAGAAAGCTAAACTACACCACAGACTCAACAATTTGAAGCACTTCTGATAAAAGTTCCACACGACTACAGCACTAGATCTAGATTTTTAGTTCTGTAGCTAAATACAGTTAAATCTTACTCTAATGTTTACATCAAAAACTCAATATCAAAATCCTATAAAGTGGCATAACAGTTATTAGGTTTTTCCATTAACATTTTGTGACATTACAACCATGACCTGAACAGACAACATCCAAAATCATTCAAAAAATATGATTCTACAACATTTTTAGGAATAAAATCAGAACATGTGTCACTATTGCCACCAGATGCTGTAACTATTGCCATAAGTTACAGCATCATTTAACCTCTTCCTGCTGCAGTTGATTTGGGGTATTTCCATCCAGTCCATAATGCTGATACTGTAGGTTTAGATTGGCGGCCATCTCTTGGTAGGTTTCTAAATGTTTTACACTGTTTCCAGTTTGAATAACCATCTGAATAGAGAAGTTTGAGAAATGTATAGCCTGGATGCCTGCATAAGCACTCTGGTTCAAATTATCCACTGATTTTAGGCTACGTTCACACTGCAGGCCTTGATGCTCAATTCCGATTTTGTTGTGTAATCCGATTTTATTGCGTTGCCGTTCACATTTCCAAATATATGCAACTTGTATGTGATCTCTTGTGTGAACTGCAGTCATACAGCTTAAGTGTCCCGCATGCGCAGTATAGGACGCAATGACGTCACAAGTAGGGTTGTCAGAAGTATCGATACTCAAAAAAGTATCGAAACTGAAACGTTGTATCCGGATACAATACTCATTTTCAAAAGTATCGAGTACCAGTCGCACCTATTCATCTAAGGTGCAGAATAGAGGAAAATGCACTTTCTGAACACTGTGATTGAATAATTCTGTGCACTTTTCAGTTTCAGACTTTTTTTGTAACAGTTGAAGCTGCTGAGAATTATTTTTCTTTCTTAACCGGTTTGGCTAGCGTCATTGTTATGTGTGCAAAGCATAGCCAAGGAAGGAAAACTTAATTTTAATTTTGTAAGTTTTTTATCAAGCTTGCTAAATACTGTGCACAGAAAACAACCACAAAATGTTGTTCTTATTGTTTATTGTATTTATTTATTTATTTATTGTATTTTAATTATTAATCAAAATATTTCTGTTGAAATTTTATCCTTGTGGTATCGAAAATGGTATCGAGTATCGAATATTTTCCTTAGTATCGGTATCGAGTTGAAATGTTTAGTATCGTGACAACCCTAGTCACAAGCCAGCGTGCTTCGTGTTTACGGAAGCAAACATGGATGATAGCGCTGGAGTGCATCTAGCAATCTTTCCAAACCTAAAAAACCCAAATTTTTCCAAGATAATTAAAAAAAAATACTGCTCTCTGCATCATCATCCACCAGTTTTTTTTTTGCCGCTTCTATGTCGCAAGATGCAGAATATTGACCTTTGTCGGGTATTGTGAGTCAGATGGAGGTCAGATGCAGGTCCCATTTGTAAAGATCAGATTCGTATCAGATTCAGGACCACATTGCTGGGTGGTCTGGGTTGAATTGATATAACCGGATCTGTGTTGTTCAGACAGCAAGAAAAAGATCAGATCCAGGTCGCATGTGGGCTAAAAAGATTTGGGTCATTTCAGGCTGCGGTGTGAACGTAGCTTTTGACACCTATTTGTTCGCTTGCATTCTCTTAAAAACCTTTAAGGCCCTCACAAACAAGCTGGATTTCTTTTTACTGGTGTTTGTTTACTAATTGGCTGAAAGTAATTGGATGTTCAGTATTAGATCTAGGGTTATCAGACTGATACAAAAGCACATCGTACTAATCTGATTTGAATTGGTTTGAATAAAAAAGACAAACTTTTCTCTCCGTATAACCCATAAAAGACATTTAAATGTGCGTTTGTCATGCGATAAAATAAGAAACGGTTCTGACTAATCGCTTTAACAGGACGTCACATTATTAAATGTATTCTATAAGAATATTGAAAAAAAAAGACCCAGATCGGATCTAAATACAGAATAAACATAGAAAACATCTAAAGCATACATGTTGAACAGGTAAGACTTTGTCTTTACTGAAGCAAAGAGTTTGGTGAGAACTACAGTTTTTTTTTTGGGAGTTTTTATGACACTAGTGGCTCGTTTTTTTTAAAAGTAGGATGACAGGAAAGGGGTTATGAGAGAGGGGGAGATACATGCGGGAAAGGACCACAGACCGGATACGAACCAGGGTTGCCCACGCCGAGGACTAAGCCCTTCGTACATAGGACGTGCACGCTAAACCACTGAACCACAGCTTTAAAACATATATAGAAAGTCTGTTTTATTGAAAGAAAATAAGTTTGGCTGACAAAACTTGCTTAGAAAACAACGTCCAGATAAAGTTCATGGTCCATATGGTTCTAAGCAGGTTTTAAATCCCATTGTCTCTCACAGCCGTGCCGAAATGATGAAGTTCAGTTAGAAATAGAGGAAGATGGATGAAGATCAGAACTGACGGACTCTCACCTATAAAAGGAAAAGCTGCCGGCAGGATGAGGAACATGCCGTTACTGTACATAGTGAAGGTGACGACGAAGTACATGGCCAGACTGCCCAAAACAAAGAAGGTGTTCACAGCCGTCCAATACGACATCTCCAACCCCAACTACAGAAAAGCGCAGATATTATCACCTTCATTTCACACTTCATATACCTTCAAATAATAATAATAAAAAAGATTTCCTTCCCACCTGTATGCTCACTGCAAACAGCAGGCAGGTCTGCGTGAGGAGGGCGAAGGACTGGTAGTCGGCCGCGTCCTTCCCGTCCTCCCTCAACGTGTCGTGCAGAGCAGCGTAGGGGATGAAGAAGAGCACCAGAGAGCTGTAGCAGCTGTGAATCGCACATTTGAAGAAGGCCTTCTTACTGAAGTACAGGTTCAGTTGACCAGGAATGTAGAGCTGAGGATGCTGGAAACTCCACACGTCGTTAACATCCTGAGCAGGAGAGGCAGACAATGGTTGGTAGGAAATTTTGTCAGGACTCCAGTTTTTGTGTTTATCTGTTTGTCTTGTCTTTTGTGTTTCTCCCTTCCACCACCAGGAGGCGCCTGGCTCCGGTTCGCCTCCTCACGCACCTGCAAGCGGTTGCCTCATCACCGGACTGTTCTTAAGCTGCTGGTTGTCACTACCTCGACGCCAGAGTGTTTGCCAGTTTGGGGCACTCTAGCCAAGCCTTGTTTATTCTGAGCCTAATCTGACCTTTTGCTTTGCGAGTTTTTGTACTCAAGCGAAGCTGAGATCACATTGAGTTTTACTGAGTGCTTGTCTCCTTGAGACTAAACTTTGCTTTGTTTTTGCCTTTCCGGATCGCCTTCTCCCAAGTGGCATCAACTGAGTCTTACACTGAGAGACGGATTCCAAACAGGAGGTTTGGATTCAATCACCTTTGAGCACGCTGAGATCATTCTCTGAGTAAGGCAATCATCTTCCCCACGACCCGTTCAAGTAGCACAGGAAAACTAAGTTGCAACCAGCAGCTGCATCATTCCACTCTGTCCGAGTTCTGGGTAAACCCTGTTCCGCCCTTCACCGAATCAGACCAACTCTGGAAGACCAACACACAGACTGTAGTCAAAGAGTCTCCACTTCTCTTGAAACGTGAGTGGCAACAAATCCTCTCCTTCAAGATTAACAAATCCAATTTCCCACTGAGCATGAATCTAACAGTCCGTCTTCCCCTCGTCTTCCAGTTTCCGGCTGATCAGAGTTCGGAGAAACTCTGCACCAAGCTCATAACATTTCAATAAAACCTGTTGAACTTTTATACTGTGTCTCTCTGTTTGGCTTCACTGCATGTGGGTCCGAGCCTTAGATAAAATCATGACAAATTTCCCTCAGTTAGAGCGAGTTTTTTTTCTCCTCTGAAGTCAAAATGTCCAACTTCCAGAATCATAAATTTCAACTGGAATGCCCCTAAAAGTCAGAATTACGACTCAGTTACCTGATGCAACAGGATGGTACCAGACTTCAGATGGATGCTACTCGCATTAACAGCAGCTACATTTTCCTACTATAACCGTTTGAAAGTAAGTAAGTCAGTCGTTCAGGGCCTACTTGTGTTCACATGGCAATATGTTTGAATACTGTGCATGTACACAGAATACCGCGTAGAATAGTGTTTTTATGGTCATTTTTATGGTTGTAACAGCAGAACACACACCATTTTGTTTGAAAATGTTGACAGTTTTATGTCATTTTTTGTTTATGTAAGTTTTATGTAGTTGCATGTTGCTTTTTGTAATTCTCCCAACCAGTCAAAGCAATTGGCATGCCAGGTGAAAGGTTCCACTTCTTCATCAAGTCTGTGGGCTGTTGGTTTCACCTCATCACGGTGGACATGAACTTTACGGAGCAACTGGCACAAATTCTTTTACAAAGCCACTGGTGTTGACATCCCTCAGTTAATCAGATTTCCTAGAGACAGGACCGGTATGGAGAATACCGCCACCTTCTCTGATGATGGCTCCTTTCAGCTATACTACTGCCTATCCTTGATCCAGTGTAACCTTGCTGTCCTGCGTTGGGAACCAATCACCTGGAAAAGCTTGCGACATGCTTTTCTCTGCTGCCTCCTTTACTGTAGCTCACAGCGTCGTCTAGGCCCTGATTAGATTTTGCAACGCAAATGTGAACGAAGATTCAGATTTTTTTTAACTCCTGCAATTTCGTTGTGCCCACTTCAAAGGTGCAGCTGTGATCTAGCTTCACTGAATTCTCCAAAATACACTAGAAACGTGGCCTTCGCCACGCAGCGCTCAAGAGCCGCCCCCTACATAGGAAAAACACAGAAACCCTTCACTCCAGCTGCAAAATTTGTGTTCAGTGAGAACGTACATTTAGGACTCTTATGGGGTCCTAAGACCACCGAGCAAAATTCTGTTAATAAATCAGCCTAAAAAGGTTTCCTATCAAAACAGGGAGGAGAAAACTGGTGTTTGCATTTATTTTCAGCAGTTAAATTACTGGATTTGTCAGTGCTGTTCCCTGCAAAACGTTAATTATGTTAGGGTTCTGGTTTGTGGGGGTTGTTCTTTATTCTTTTTCAGTGTCCCCGTGCATCCACCAGATGGTGCCATTGTTCCTCTGTTGGCCTGGAGGGCCTCTTCCTGCTCTCAACTACTTACACCTGTCGGTCATCACCGTCTGAGGAGTATATGAGCAGCAGACTCTCACCATCTCCTCACCAGAGTGCTTGCTCATATTGGGAACTCTAGCCCCTCTGACTTTGCGGAGTCAAACTTTGAGTTCCTTTTCTGAGACCTCTAGTCCTAATCTTGTTTCTTTTTGTGAATCTCCGGCAGGATTTCTACAGATCCACTGGATAAGCCTGGTACTTCAAGCCTTGGAAGGAACCCTCTCGTCACGCTGAGAAAAGGGAACTATTCACCATATCAGAACGCCGTCCACGTCAGGAAAACAAGTGACAGTCTGCTCTGCTGCTCCTCAGGACCACCATAGTCTGCCTGTCCACCCTCCAGCAAAGTAATCTCCATATCTGAGCAAGCTTTCACAAACAGGAACTCTGGATCCTCCCCAAACCACAACAAGCTTCTGCTTCCGGTTCACCCAATCGCTGGAACCTCCCCAAGCTGGAAAACAGTTTTCAGTGTCTTTGTTACTTTTTTTTCTAATAAACTGTTGAACCTTTCTCAATCTCTGTGAGTACTTCTGCATGTGGGCCAAACACATTAGACCCATCATGACAAATTAGACATCTGCAGCTCATCCAAAATCCTGACCAACACCAAGAAGATAGATCATATCAAACCAGTTCCTAAATGACTAGATTAGATTAGATAGAACAATTGAGAGTTTCACTTGTGACATCGCTCTTATAAACAACAAAAAGTACATAAAGTAGGAAAAGGTGCATGAAGTATATACAGTGCATCCAGATATATACATCCATCAATTTTCTGTCACGCTTATCCCTACTGGGGTCGCAAGTGGTGCAGCTGCCTACCAGATATACAGTGGGGCAAAAAAGTATTTAGTCAGCCACCAATAGTGCAAGTTCTCCCACTTAAAAAGATGAGAGAGGCCGGTAAGTTTCATCATAGATATACCTCAAATATGAGAGACAAAATGAGAAAAAAAAATCCAGAAAATCACATTGTCTGATTTTTAAAGAATTTATTTGCAAAATATGGTGGAAAATAAGTATTTGGTCAATAACAAAAGTTCATCTCAATACTTTGTTATATACCCTTTGTTGGCAATTACAGAGATCAAACATTTTCTGTAAGTCTTCACAAGGTTTTCACACACTGTTGCTGGTATTTTGGCCCATTCCTCCATGCAGATCTCCTCTAGAGCAGTGATGTTCTGGGGCTGTCGCTGGGCAACACAGACTTTCAACTCCCTCCAAAGATTTTCTATGGGGTTGAGATCTGGAGACTGGCTAGGCCACTCCAGGACCTTGAAATGCTTCTTACGAAGCCACTCCTTCGTTACCCGGACGGTGTGTTTGGGATCATTGTCATGCTGAAAGACCCAGCCACGTTTCATCTTCAATGCCCTTGCTGATGGAAGGAGGTTTTCACTCAAAATTTGACGATACATGGCCCCATTCATTCTTTCCTTCACACGGATCAGTCGTCCTGGTCCCTTAGCAGAAAAACAGCCCCAAAGCATGATGTTTCCACCCCCATGCTTCACTGTAGGTATGGTGTTCTTTGGATGCAACTCAGCATTCTCTCTCCTCCAAACACGACGAGTAGAGTTTTTACCAAAAAGTTCTATTTTGGTTTTATCTGACCATATGATATTCTCCCAGTCATCGTCTGGATCATCCAAATGCTCTCCAGCAAACTTGAGACGGGCCTTGACATGTACTGGCTTAAGCAGCGGGACACGTCTGGCACTGCAGGATTTGAGTCCCTGGCGGCGTAGTGTGTTACTGATGGTAGCCTTTGTTACTTTGGTCCCAGCTCTCTACAGGTCATTCACTAGGTCCCCCCATGTGGTTCTGGGATTTTCACTCACCGGTCTTATGATCATTTTGACCCCACGGGGTGAGATCTTGCGTGGAGCCCCAGATCGAGGAAGATTATCACTGGTCTTGTATGTTTTCCTTTTTCTAATATTTGATCCCACAGTTGATTTCTTCACACCAAGCTGTTTACCTATTGCAGATTCAGACTTCCCAGCCTGGTGCAGGTCTATAATTTTGTTTCGGGTGTCCTTTGACAGCTCTCTAGTTTTGGCCATGGTGGAGTTTAGTGTGTGACTGTTTGAGGTTGTGGACAGGTGTCTTTTATACTGATAACGGGTTCAAACAGGTGCCATTAATGAAGGTAACGAGTGGAGGACAGACGAGCCTCTTACAGAAGAAGTTACAGGTCTGTGAGAGCCAGAAATCTTGCTTGTTTGTAACTGACCAAATACTTATTTTCCACCATATTTTGCAAATAGATTCTTTAAAAATCAGACAATGTGATTTTCTGGATTTTTTTTTTCTCATTTTGTCTCTCATAGTTGAGGTATATCTATGATGAAAATTACCGGCCTCTCTCATCTTTTTAAGTGGGAGAACTTGCACTATTGGTGGCTGACTAAATACTTTTTTGCCCCACTGTATACAGTGGATAGATTTGAGGTGACTTATATACAGTAAGGGTTTAAGGTGTCTTATGTATAGCAAAGTAGTGCAGGTAAAAAAACAAAAAAAACAGTGCAGTTTCTGTTTTGTTAAATAAATAAAAAAAATAAGTGAGGTAACTGAAATAGGCAAAGGCTCTTATAGTACTGGACTATTGCACGTTATTGCAAAGAGTATAAAATCGTTATTGCACGGTTGTTGTAGTGTTATACAATGTTATAGTGCAGTGGCATTGTTAAGTCTAAAGGAGATGCTCAGATTGGTGAAATTGGTGCTGTAATTATTTATAGATGTTTACAAACACTAAATGTTATTGGATTGTGAGATATTTGAGCTTCTTATCAAGCATGGACTACAATGCCCCCCCCCACTCCACACCCCCAGATCTATAGAGAGCCGCTTAATCAGTCTTTCTGATCTTCTTAAAACCTTCTTTGACCTAAAAACAAGTTTTTTTTTTAGGCTAATAAAGAAATTCCGGAGTATAAAGGCAGTTTCAGGTTTTTCTTTCTGTACGATTCAAACCACAGGAGAAAACAGTTTTTATGCTTTTGTTTTGGCAAATGGGGATAAACATTATGATTACCTGATCAAACAGGCTCATACCCAGGACAGGCAGTGCTGTGTACATCAGGTTGTAGAGCGTAATGAACCACTCATCGTACACCGTCTGAAAAAGCAAAGTCAAGTTCAAACCTCTGCGGGAAGAAGATCATAAGCTGATTGGTTTGGTAGGACTCAGCTCTGACTGTGTCACCTGTGCTGAGAAGCCGCAGAAGAAGGCGAACCAGAAGTGAACAAAGGTGAAGGTAAAGTTCTTGTAGAAAAAGTACCGCAGGAATTTGCACATCCGCAGGTAGGACCAGCGTCCGTGCACCAGCAGGAGGCGCTGCAGGAAGCGGAACTGGGCGAAGGAGTAGTCGCTGGAAAGCACAGCTTGCATCCCCTCCTGTCCTGAGATGCCCACACCGATATGAGCGGCTGGGAAGACAAGACAAGAGAAAACGATTTTATTGAATAATGTGTCTATGGAGCTCTGAGGCAGACTTTAAGAGAGGAGCTAAAAGTTAAAAAAAGGGTTTATAGATTAATGTATGTATGCATAGAAACCGCTTGATGTACTTTTTTTTTTCCCAATTCAAAACACTGCAGATTTAAACATGCCGTTTACATCAACTTTCCACTAGATGGCAGAATCAGGCTTGAAAAGCTGAGCAGCACAGACATAGATGCAAGAAAAAACTATAGTTTATAGTCTTGTCTAGTTCTCTTTTTAAGTTTAATTAATGTATTTATTTGACAGGGACAGTGTACATAAAAGCATTCCTGCAAATGCACCAGAATTAGCCAAAAGGCTGTTTTTCATCTGTTGTCCCTTGACAGATCTTAAAATTGTCTACCTAAAGGACAGAAACAGAGCTTTGATGTTTATGTCTTGTTTGTTTTAGGGACTTATTCCTTATTCCGTACCGCATGCTTCATAATGGTGGCCTTTTAACTGTAAAGCTTTGAAACTGTAAAACATCATAAATTAGAAAAAAATAAAACCCTACACAAAAAAACAAAAAACAACAAAGATGATTTTAAAGACTCTTTTTTATAGGGGGATGTTTCCTTTCCTGTTTATTTGAGAGGAAACACCAACATGATGTGGGAAGCTCTTTGGCTAAAAGCAAAACCAGGTGGTTATCCTGTACCTTTGATCATGCTGACATCATTGGCTCCGTCGCCAATAGCCAGCGTGACCGCCTTCTTGTACTTCTTGACCAGCTCGACCACCTGGGCCTTCTGCAGGGGCGTCACCCTGCAGCAGATCACCGCTTTACACAAACACGCCGTCCGGAGGAACTCCAGCTCCATGCTGCTCTCCAAGGCGTACGCCTGTTGGAAATAATGGAGAAAGCTGGATTTAAACAACAAGTTTGGCCATTTTACAAAGTTACAGGGTGTTTTTGGGAATTAAAAATACCAACAAAGATGATTTTACCAATGGGGCCGTTGTGACCTACCAGACTGTGTCCATTGATAACCAGTCCATACTCTCCATCAGCCATCTCCTCTTCGACCAGATTCCCACTTTTACCCATCGCTTCTGGTGAAAGCAGAGAATTTGCTTCTCTTTGAGGTTTCATGGTGTTCTGTGCATTTCTGCTCCAAATAAACAAAAAACAAAATTAAGATATCTAAAATATTACTTAAAAAACCAAAACAAAAAACAACTTAAAAAAGGCTTTAAAAGAATTCGTCAGACCTCAGCTCCAGTCTAACCTCCTCGGGTGAGTGGCCCGACACGATGAAGATGTCGTTCATCTCCTCCTGCAACAGGTTGCACGAGTAGCCGATGTTTTCTGCCGTTTCTGCAATACAAACCCAAGAAATGACAAAGAATATTGGACGAGGACTCAGCTCTGTGTGAAAGCAGCGAGCACACTCTTACAATTAGCATGAAAGTCCTTTTTCTTGAACTAAATAAAAGAAACCTCCTGCAGCCTTTGCTTATTTCTAGGAGCCAGGGGGCTATTAAACAATAGTTTGCTACATTTCATTTTACGTCTTCTTCACATAGTTGATTTTTTTCAACCTGAATTCACTCATTTGATAAAGTGCACATAAGCTATTATCTCCATTAGATACCCTGCTTGTCGCCAGTGAGGACCCAGATTTTGATGTCGGCTTTAGCCAGCTGCTCAATGGTCTGAGGTACTCCATCCTGTAACTTGTCTTCAATGGCTGTTGCTCCCAGCAGCTGCAAACAAACACAGTCAGATGAAGTCAAAACAAAGAGAACTCAGCTTCCTGTTTTCCTCTTCAGCTTCCTACCAGGAGGTCCTTCTCTATCTCCTCGTACAGCTCGTCCAGTTTGGTGTCCTTGTCTTCCAGTGAGGTGCTCGCCTCATGGTGCCGCTGCTTCCACTGGCTGAAGTAGCCCTCGTCCAAATCTTTGTAGGCAAGAGCGAGCGTCCGCAGTCCCTCCCCTGCAAATTCCTGCAGATCAGCATGCACATACTTATATGGATGAGCCGTAAAAAGGCAAATGTTTCTGCGCCGAGCAGAGCACTGATAACATCCTGAGATGTAAACAACGTTGAGCTCACGGGCTTGGTTGTATACAGTGGATTACTAGGATTCAGCCTGTGAAATTCACAATGAAAGAAAAAAAAAATAGACATATTTCTGCTTTAGAGTGTTTCTTCACATTCTAAACATGATCCAAGGCAAGAGACATTAAAGGGAGTGAGAGGAAAGCATGAAAGAATCCCAACACTGCAGATAACCTATTTTTCTAAAGCTAAATCTTCCTCCTAAGTATAATAAATGGATGCAATACATATATTTATTGCATCCCAATTCACTAACTTTTAAGGTCTGAACTCTCCAGCATGCAGCTGGATACAAGGAGTAAGGTTGATGTTTAGCAGACAGTTAAATGCATGGTATGCAGGATAATAATTTTATGGGTTATAAGGGACACACAAAAAAAAATAATGACAAGAACTTTTGATTCATTCATTCATTCATTTCATTCACCTTAAACTGACAAAAAACGTATAGATTTATTAACCATTTAACCCCAATGTTTAATTAAGTCTCATTTATTAAATGGTTTGAAGCAAAAAGTAAAGATACAACTTGGTCTCAAATGCCTTTAATCTTCAAAAATAAAATTGTCTTCAGTATTTTGGTAAAAAATGTGGCAACCTATTAATACATTTTTAATGTGATCAGGTCCAAGGCATCCAGACTAAGCGTTTCAATTGTTTTGAGCAGAGAGAGGATTAAACTATATAAGAAGGAGAAAATCTACTCAGTAGACGTTCCATTATTTCTATTTTTCTGTTCTTTTAAATATGTTTTACTTTAAATGTAGTTTAAAGGAGTCCAAAATCTAAATATAAACATGTCTGATCACTAAGCATTGTTATGAACAAATAATAGCATAGGATCGGATATAGTTCTGCTTCAGATTTGAGAACATTGTGCAGCGAAGATGAGTTAAAGGATAAAACAAATATCTTTGGGGACAGGGCTTGTACCTTGGTTTAAAGATTAAACCTGATGATAAGATAATAATAGTGCTAAAGATCTCTGCTGCGTGGATGTGAAACTGTTGAAAGCTACTTCCTGAGAAAAACATTTGTTTACTTTTGTTTTTTGATAATATGGTGACTAGAATATAATAGCAGAACTATCCCTGATGAAAACAGGGAAAAAGATCATTTTCATTCTGAAGAGAAACGAAACCAAATTCCAGGCTGTTTATTAGAAACTTCCATAGCCTCGTGAGCGAGCATGTGCGCGCTTTCAGGAAATCCTATACACTACTGTTTATGCTCTAAAAACATTCTAAATGACTTCGTTTCGAGTAAATTCTGGATGCTACCCACTCAGGACACTTGGAATACATTGGACGAGCAGTATGGAGGAATATTGACACGTTTTTTGGGGACTTTTATGGACCTTTCTGTCTCGGTCACCATAGACCTCCATTATTTGAATGTCAGCAGACAGCAAGAAGCCTCCCAGATCTCCAGATGCATTTGAGATATCAAAAAAGTACTCCAGAGTGTTGTTCAGCATGGGGGTGAGTAGAAAATGAAGGCTAATCATGTTTTGGGTGTACTATTCCTTTAATACCCTCTTTTTCCCTCCAGCTATACAGCTTTCCTTTTTTTTTTATCACACCCTGATAATCAATTGATCCTATCATTATCTTAGTCTGATCAGGACTGGATTGGAAAAAGCAAAGAGTGGTAAATAAAAAATAAAAAAAAAACAGAAACGGCTTGAAAATATTTTAAAGTATCTGCAAATAAATTGAGCATCACTGACATTGAGGTGCTCTGTTGTGACGTCCATCAACTTGCTGCAGGACTGGTCCAGCCTCTCGTAGATGATCGTGTCCGCTCCCTTACAGTAGAGGGACAGCTTCCCCTCTGGACTGCGAACTGTTCACACAAACACAAGAACACATCTGTGATTTATGTTGTCCAGCAGAGGGAACAGAATCCGCCATCCTGAAGACGCAGCTCACAAACAAATCTGAGAACCCTCTGGATATGAGGATAATCTGGGATCCTTACCAATCACAGACATCCTCTTGCGAACATTGTTAAAGTCCAGGATCGCCAGGAGTTCATAGTTGCGCTGATTTCCCATTTCCATGATGGAAATGCTCTCAGGTGTACGTGAGCGGAAGACAAATCCAAAGTTTCTGGCTGCAGTCACCAGCGCTCCTTCATCTGGAGACTGGGCCTGATAGAAAAGCTCCCCTGGAGGAGACAGAAGGGGAAATGTTCAAACTGAGGTTCAGACAAAAAAATCAAGGAGAAAATGATGACACTCTGCTGCATTTCTGATGACCTGCTCCTCCTCTACCCACCTTCTTGCTTCTCCTCTGCCATGACGGTGTGGCAGAGCGCCAGCAGTCTGAAGAATGTGTGGACCTCAGGGTTGTCCAGCTTCACGGCCTCCACCAGAGAGTGGTCATAGAACACGAAGCGGGGGTCAGCCAGAGGGTTGAAGGAGAAATCCACCGGGTCTTTATGCTACAGAGGGAGGCGTTGATGATTAAAGAGGCTTTGAGTAAGGTGGCCATCAGGAACAGAAACCTTTAAGGAAGCAGTTTATCTCACCCTCCTACATCTACCTGCTTTACATATAATTTTAACCTCATAAATTAATTTCAGTTTTTTACATTACATTATAAATATATGATATTATAAATACCAGCAGGCCATGTACAGTATTAGTCCCAGTCTGGAGGGATATTGGGGGGAGCGTTGGCCTAGTGGTTAGAGCAATTATTATCCTTTTTTTTTCTATTTCCATATGAATCCTGTTCAGTGATTTCTGGGTCTGCTCCAAATGGGATGAGTTCAGAAAATCAATAGAAGGGAAAATATTTTCATCTTGCTTTTAAGCAGCAGTGCTCTAAACATGGAGTTTACATCCGGGCAATCATTTAAAGAAAGCTTGTTAGTCTTTGCTGTATGATTTACCATACTAAATGAGCAGCTTTTAATGTTCCAGTAAATGACGGGGTGTAATATACTCCCTCACCATGATGCGTCAGAAAGAGATGGAAAATTCTCTGCAGGTTTAAAATCAGTTTTACCTTCAAGCAGAGGAGCTCTAATTTATCTTAGTTATGTTCATCAGGGATGTTGGGATGGACCAGAAATGAAAAGACGTTTTTTTTAGACTGAATGCCAAAACAAGTTTATCTCATATGACAAAAATTGAAAAGAGAGGGGTGATGAGGTAGAGGGGGATGATGTGGCTCAAAGTTAAACTTGCTGTTTTAGCAGCAAACGTCTAGTGATGAAAATCCTGTTTTTGGCTGTGAGAGATCTCTCATTTTTTTCAGCCTTCAAAATTATTGTGATACAGGGATGTTGTAAAATAAGCTTAGACAAGAGTTTTTCCTCGAGCTTGGGGGAGAAAAATATATAATTTCAAACACATACGCATTTTTTCAGTAACCAAACCAAAGCAGACGACACACAGCTTTACATCTCAATGTCACCAGGTGACTAAGGACCCATCAAAGTGTTGACTGCTCTGACAATTAGAACTTAGAACGGAAAACCTGGATGCCACCAACATTTTCTCCAACTGAATAAAAACAAAACTGAGATAATAACCTTCCGACCAAAGGAGGAAAGATCCAGCGTTAGCTCACAGCTTCAGCTATGTAGCTAGAAACCTCTGATTATGGCAGAACCTGAAGACCATTTCCAGGATTAAAGTCCAATAAGGATCTAGAAAAACTCATTAATGTATTTATCTTTAGTAGAACTGATAATTGAAAGTCCATCAAACAGTTGCAGTCGATTTAAAACGCTGCAGTCTTGTTTCTCACTAGAACTAAGAAAGTAGAGCACATCAGCACAGTTCTGAACTCGTTCCACTGGCTCCCTGTAGCTCAGAGAATAGACTTTAAATTTCTGATGTTTGTGTATAAATCACTGAATGGATCAGCTCCTCATTACATAACAGATTTGTTGTCAGTGTATCAACCTCCCAGACCACTCAGGTCTTCTAGTTCAATTCTACTCTGTACATCCAGAACTAGAACTACCTTTGACTTTTAAAGTTAAACTGTTAACTGAGGGATAATTTGTTTAATTTTGTGGTTCAACTGTTTTATTTGTTTTACTACCCGCTTTTAGTATGTTTTTATTTTTACCTGCTTTTATTCTGTTTTTATTTTCCTTCCATTTTAGTGTTCAATTTATATAAAACACCTTGAATTGGCGCTGTACTGAATTTTGCAAAACAAATAAACTTGACTTGCCTATAGGGGACTTTGAAAAGCTATGAAAAACAAACAGGATGTAGGAAGGTGTTGCAAATCAGATAAAGATGAACACAAATGACTTTAACTTTATTGACTCACCTCAGAATTGTCAAGTCTCTGACTTGTGTAGTCATATGCATCTCCTGCAGAGATAATTAAAGATAAAGACTTAGAAGAAGGAAGAACATTCAGCTTAAAAATAAACACCCTTACACACAATAGATAAAAGTAAGTGACAAAAGCAAATGAGAACATTTCCACTGAAATGATGAATTTCTACTGAATTCATCATTTCAGCGGAAATAAAATCCAAGTCGGTCTAAAACCAGCAGGACCGCGAGTGACACCGTACCGTAGGACTTCCCATTGATGGAGCATTTGTTGAAGATCATGATGTTCTGGGTTAGCGTTCCGGTCTTGTCGCTGAAGATGTACTTGATTTGACCGAGCTCCTCGTTCAGCGTGGTGGTGCGAGCCTCGGCAGGCGTGTCGCTGCTGGAATGATACATCTTTCTGTCCCAGTCGATGTAGAAGCTGTTCCCAAGCCGGATAATCTCAACACTGACCGGGAATGCAGCAGATAAAATATTATTCATTCTGATCCAAGGCATCCTGAGTCCATCAAGTTTCCCCAAAATGTACATACTGGTTACCTAACATAAAGCGAGATGGGCACCACAGTGTTGAGGATGATGATGTAGGACCAGAAGGTGAGAAAGGCAGAGAAAGCTTCGCTGTTGCCATCTTCTCTCGGCAGGAAGACGGTGAAGTTTGAGCCGTTATTTTTCTCCCAGATGTAGTTTCCGATCGCCAGGATCGTGCACATGAATACGAGAAAACCAAAAATCTACAGAGACGCAAAAAAAATGCCATTTTATTTACAATGATCTCTCCTTTTAGAGCAAAGTGCTGCGTAACACATCATTCAGAGACTTTAAATGTACATTTAAAGTCTCTGAATAATGTACATTTAAATGTACATTTAAATCTCACTTACCTCCTCAATTCAAGAAAAAATGCATTTATTTTAAGAAAATTTTTTAAATTTAAATTTTTTGCAGTGCATGTTGGGTTTTGTCTTCTCAATTATTCATACATAGCTATCTGGAGTTATAAAATTGCCTGGTGCTGAAATAAAAAAAACTAGGAGGATTAAGGTTTAACAGATGTTTTGGATAAACACCAACAGCTGCTCTCATTCCTAAACATGGATGGACATTCCCAACCTGTTTACATGCGGATAAGAATTGTTTGAACACAGACATTTGGCAGAGTTAGACTGTGGGCAATTGTACCCAGAATGAATCAGATTTAAATCTGATTCATTCTTGGTATAAATTTGAGTTTATTTGTCCATAAACTCAAACAGTGTGATTTTGTTGCCTCCATTTTACTTTTTTCATGGTGAACAGACCTATGAGAAGCTTACAAAGCCATGACATCATCTACTTGAGTTTTTAAAATGAGAAAAAATGTAACAATTAATACAAATAAAGTGATATAAAAAAACAAGCTCATTGGTATCTGAAAATTATCTCTTTTCAGACTGCCATTTAGGCAACAAGAAACCTTTTAATCATCCTGAATATGGAAATAAAAAAAAAGTCTAATCAGATTTAAGGCCAGGCAATGAGTATAAAAAGAATAAGAATAAATGTATTTTTATATAATCTATGTCGATCAGCTGTTTTCGAGTTTTCATGCAAAGTTTTAAATCTATGTGAATTAAAAATAAAATCTAAATAAACAAAGAGCTAAACAAGTACATCGAATTATTTAGTTGTCTTATTTAATTTACCTTTGGAATTATAAAAGTATTTCTGATTTTTTTTTTTTGCATGTGTAATTGTTTCATGTTGAATAGACAAATTCTACCTGTAATAATGTAATTTATTTGCAAAAAACTAGTAAAAACTAATAAATCAATTCAGTTTTAGGATCCCCTTAAAAATAAAAACTTTGTATCTTTGTATACAAAGATACAATGATCTTTGTAAAGGACACTCACACAGAGAACCAGAACGTTCATCAGACGGTCTATACTGGTCCTCTTAAAGGTGGTCTTCCCACAGTTTTGCATCAGCTTCGTCTCTTGACCTTTGATAATAAAAGATCAAATGAGGTTCCTTTATTTTTTGTTACATCAAACTAAAGAAAAATACACCTGAAAGACATCTCACTGACCTCCAAACAGCACCAGCCCGAAGCACCAATCAGTGTTCCTCAGCGTGCAGCCGCGCAGCAGAATCTTCTCGTTGTCAAGCGGATATTTCTGACCGGCGAATGTTAGTGTTCCCGAAAAGCGGTCGAGGCGGTTGTTGGGAGGTTCACAGCGAACCTCACCTTTAGAGTGGACATAAAAGCAAAGGATTTCTGCATTAACAACAAATAAGACCAACGTTTTAATTAACAATTATTGATTTGAAAATGTCAGTTATTTATTTCTCTTTTTATTTTCAATTTGATCAAGTCCCTTTGTTCTCCAGGTTTTCCTGCCTCTAATCCAGTATTACCATTAAAGTCTGCCAGTTTTTCAATATCATCTCCCAGGTTGCCTGTTACTGGAAGGGCCTGCTTGACCTTCAGGTTAGTCTCTCTATGCAAAGGAGAGAAGAGAATAAACAAAGGAAAAAAGGTTGAAAAATGAGGTCAGTGAATGATATCCTGAGGAGCCGTTGGTGAATGATTTATAGTTAGTTATGCTTTAATCCTAGAAGTCAACTAACCCGTCCAATTCTGCCGTCTCTATGTACACAAGGTTTAGAGGTTCGCTGCTGGAGAGCAGCAAGAGGTCCGCCTGAAATAAAAACAGTGCAAAACAATCAAAAAACTTCAGATTAACAAAAATTTTGTGTCTAAATCTTTATAGAATATATATATAGGTGTGTCTATACCAATGTGATCAGACAGGAAATCATTCAAGAAAAATGTTAAAGTTCCCGTGTAAATTTGAGGCCTCCGTAGTTAAAAAGCTCGTATCAAATCGAAGATGAACCAGACATTATCCAATGCAACAACTGCTTTTATATTGATATTAATGTGAGCTATACATGAACAGTAACAACAGTGTAAATATAGTGTAACAAAAGACAAACCATCAAAATGGTGGTGGTGGTGGTGGGGGGGGGGGGTACTTGTAATAAAGGTGGGGTTAAGAAGGAACAGTTTAGAACCATTATTATTGCAGGTGAGCAAAAACCTTATCAAAAAAAAAAAAAAAAAGTAAAATGCAGGAGACCCACTACAGAGTCTTGAGGTACGCCATCCTATATGGATAAGCATACAACATATATCTATGATTTGTAGCACTTCCTTTTTAGGGCAATTTTTCTAACAGAAGCTGAAAATCTAATCGCTGAGAAAATTTTTCAGCTTTAAAAATGGATACATTGCTGCAAAGCAGGCAAAACCACCAATGCTTATTACTTATTATCTTATAAATAGAAACTGATGTTACTTTTATGACCTGTAGGTGTTTGATTAGCGCATGGTTTCTATTTATTGTTTTTTAGCACTTTCTTATCATGTTTTAAAGTTATGGCCATTTTCTGTAATCTTTTACCATTTTTAGTCTGCCTCATTAGTTCATTATCTGTTCATATATTTTAAGAGTTTGTAGCTTTCTCAGTTCCTTTTGTATTTTTCTCAGTTTTGCCATTTAGTTCATGCAATTTACTTATTCATTTATTTTGTTATCGGTTAAATTATGTTAGTTCCTTGTCGTTCTTCCTGTCTGTCCTGGTTAATCATTCTCCTTTAGAAAGCACCACTATTTAATTAAAAGAACTATTCACCTGTGCCTCCTCCTTTAGCCTACATCATGCTACTTTTACCTGTTCTATTTAAGCCCTTTGTTTATTCCAATTTGCCTCTGAGTTGTTTTAGCATCCTTTTCTCCCTCTCTGCACGTTTTTGTGCTTTTCATCCAGTTTTTGTAAGTTTGTTATTTATACCTGTATACATTTTCAATCATTCAGGTTATAACAACCACAAAACAGGTTTAACACTTTCGCTCAGTTTTTTCTGCATACGCTTCAACACCTTTCCGATCCCTTAGCTAATTATTTTTTGTATAGGGCCATGATAGTGTTATTTATCTGACAAAGGCCTTTAAAGGGAATAGCCATGTTGCTCTCGAACGTTGTCTGCACCATAGTCAAAAACTCTAAGTAAAGTCTGAGATAACAATTTAAACAAAAATAAATTATAGCAATTCTCTGGACAAAAAAGGGGAACACAAGTAAAGGCTAAAGCTAATGCTGCGTTCACACCGGGCGCAGCTGGCGCGACAGAAGCAGCGAGTTTACATGCAAAGTTAATGGTTGACGCGCGTCAAGGCGCAGCAAAAGGTCCCGCGGCGCGTTTTGAGCAGCAGGCGCAGCGCGTCTGAGCAGCTGAAGCAGCGCGTCGGGCGCGTTTAAGCATCTGACGCGCGTGACGCGCCGCAAACGCGCGGCTGCTCGAGATGGAAAAATTGAATTTTTGCTGCTCGACGCGCCGCGTCAACCAATCAGAGAAGCTGATCTGGGAGCTGGCTGGGAGAGAGACACAGCGCTGATGACACAGACCGCTCTGATTACTCCTCTTAAACAGTTTATTAATGGATAATTAACTTAAAATATATACATCTGCCGGTAGAATATGTTCGCTTTTATTATTCTGGTGCCTGCAGATCGGATTATTTAGATGAAAAACACCTACCAGCCGCCGCGGTAAACCGCGAGGAGGCGACCCGGCCAGAGGCTGCTGAAGAAGGGATTCCTTCTGTTGGCGCGCCGCCGGTATGTGGGAGTCTGAGCGGCTCCGACAGAAATAACATTGGGAGGCAGGATTGTAATCTGGATGAACTGACTGCACTGATGTTTTCAGGTGGATTTTCTCACTTAAAAACATATTAAAACTACTTTATTCCCACTGATCACAGCAACTGTATAGCTGCAAGGCAGAGAAAGGATAGAGTAGCTCCGCCCAACGCGCGTCAGACACACTTTTGCACCGCGCAGGCAGAGCAGCAAAGCTGCTTCAGCCGCGCGTCAGAACTAACTGGTACAAGCAGCAAAAATGAAGCAGCAGACGCGATTTTGCTGCTTTTGCTGCATCCGGTCTGAACGTAGCATAAAACTAATAGACCTGAAAGAAGGAATAAAAAAATAAAGCCAGTGAATTAGAACTTCAAAAAGAAAGGTAAAGAGGTAAAGCTAAATGGAAAATGTGTAAAATGTTGACTTACAGTCACAAACTGGTTGTTTTCTAGCTTGATAATGTCTCCTACTTGGACATCCATCCATTTTTCACTGCGTAGCCTGAGAACAAAACCATAAAGTTAAATTTAACTTTGGGAAGCGTTTTTTTAAATGGAGGGAAGTTACTACTCGGTGAAAGTCAACTTGTTTTTTTGAAAATCTTTATGTCAGGGAAGAAAACTGTCTAAGGGACAATAAACAGGCCTGTGCTGACCCTAAAGGTCACACCAATCCAAGCCACTTTCCTCCACTGCATGTTCCTGCCAGTTTCCTGTATGATACTGTTTGTTCATCTGCCAACAAAACGGAATATTTTTAGAAACTGGACGGAGAAAATAGTAAAGATCAAAGCTAAGGAGGATTTGGACACAAGTATTGCTCTTCATTTGGTAATAAAACCTGACAGAAAGAAGCTGGGAAATATTTTAATTTGACAGATTTGTTAGATTCAAGTAAAGATTCTTTTGTGCTCCATTTTGGTTTGCCAAGTCATTTTCAGTGATGTTTATATGCTCTCCAAAACCCCTCATCCCCACAAAAGCTGACCTTTCTTACCTACTAACCTCAAATTAATGTTTTCAATTTCTCTATATTCAATCAGTCATTAGCAAATCTCTGAAGACAAGACTCTGCGATGCATCTACACCTTATGGATAAAGGAAATTCTTTTGAGGACCAGAATGTTCACATTTTGGACAAAGAAGAGGTGGTTTGAGAGGGGTGTGAAAGAAGGCATTTATGTTAAAAAAATCAAAAACAAAAGATCTTATGTCCTGTCAACTGAGTGGTTTTTAATCACCACATTAAATCCATGTGATTTAAACGTAGAAATTTAAGTAAAGCTTTAAAACTGTTAAAAAATAAGTACATTGCAAATAAACTAGATAAAAACTATAAAGTAGGTAAATGGTAAACAAAACTTTTTAGTTTTTAGAGGCGGTCGTAGCAGCTGTTCAATGATAGGCTGCATATTATCAGCAATAAGAAACTTACTTAAAGGTAGAGGAAAAATAGTCTGAAGCCATTCTATGGAACTGGTGCTCTTTGACTGCAGTTGTTTTCTATAACGCTGTTATCACATATACAGGTATATGTTCTCTCACTGATGTCAAGTTCTTTTAAATATCTGTTAAAAAAGTTTGTATAATGCTGCTAATGTAAGGACGGATAAGGTCTGAAAGTCTGTGATGGATTGTGAGGTGAATAGATAGTGCTCATAAAGATAAAAATATGAAAAGTTATCTATACGCAGTCTGAGAACCCTCTCGTTGATTAATCACATATATTTTATTCTCTGCAAATGTATGCCTATCATTCTTTAATTGAATACTCATCAAAAGAACTTGTGATTTTTTTTGCTTTTAACACCTAATGTGTCTTATGGACCAAGTAAATTATTTTATTTTTATTGTTCACATAAAACTAGGAGAAAAGTCTCCAAAGTAAATCAGGAAAAATGAAACACTGGCTTTAGGCTGAGGGGAGCCCAAGGACACTCTGAGTTTATTTAGGAAAACCCTCTCCTAACCAGGTTAGCTCTGGGGAGAATCTTACTGCGGTAACAGAATCAGAGGCTGAGTAAACCCTCTTTTTGAAACGGAAAACTCAGTTACCCTTAAATCAGGATTAGAAAAATATTTAGTAAACCTGCTGTGTGAAACAGACCCCTTAAGAGTAAAACATAAGCAATGGACAAACAGGAAAAAAGGATAACCAGAGCTGTGTTCAGACCAAGCTGCACACCTCTAATGTGTCCTCCTTGTGCTTTTTTTAGGAGCGGACAAAAACATGTCAACAGGAAGTAAACTCCTCCTACAATCCTACATTTGCTTCTTATAAAGCACTAAACTAAGCAGTAACAGCTGCCAGCATTAAAGGAACCACACACAGGAACATGCATGTAAATATTTCAGCACAAGTTTACTTTTTTATAAACTTTGTCCTTTGCTGTCCTTCTCTGCCTCTGAGAACAGAAATTATCTTATCAAAGAAGTAAACGCTTAAAAAGCTTCTTTTATGCACATAAAAAATATTTTTTTTTTACTTTAACAGTATGTCCAGGATCTTTAGAGTTCAGTGTTTAAACCTACAAGATTACCCATCTCAAATTGGGTAGGCAGTTTGTTAACCTGCCGCGATGATAAACCTGATTTGATTTGGTTCTGCTGAGGAATAAATGCAGGGACTAAGCAGCAGCAGCTTGTTGAGTAAAGACTGTGGACAGCAGAGAAATCTGAATCGGATAACTGAACCAGGAAGTGTTTATTTTAAGGTGTTCGAAGACTGCTTGCTGCACAAAAGAGAAAGAGCAGATGTTAGAGACCAGGAAAAATTTGGCACTGAGTTAGTGGAGAAAAACTAGTAACCAGAAACACAGAAATACACTGAAACAAAGGATGGTACAAACAAACCAAAACAAGTCCAACAGACCCAATCAGAACCAGAAACCAGAAAAGTCAGCGTTCTGTTAGGCCAACATAAAGTAGGGTTTATTACCACAGCCTAAAGTTACAACTCAGAATGTGAAAACTGTGATGTGCATTTGTATATCTACTTGTGTACCTAATGAGATCTGAGTTCATAACAGAGCATCAGTCTTAGGTAGAAAGTTTGAGAGGGGTCAGGCTGCAGACCTCCACTGTCAGGACCCAGAGCTGCACTGTCAAGCCCCAGAGCTGCAATGAGAGGTCTCCTGCGCTGTCAGAACTGGAAGTTTATTGGAAGACTTTCAAATTAAAAGCAAAGTTGATTCGAAGCCTTTCTAAATTAAAATCTAGCATCGATAAACTCCTGGTGAAGTTAGCTTCCTTTCAAAAGCAAGTACTGTTATGCTGGAAACTTATGTACATGCACAACTTTACTCCCTACCAAACTCCTATATGGAATAATAGATATGTGCTACATAGAAATAGGTCTCTGTATTTGAATCGCTGGACCCCACTTTACAGGTTTGCAATGGATGGGCCTGACAGTGCAGGTCTGCAGCCAGACTCTCATGGACAGTTTCATATTCTAGTTAATTTTATTAAAAATGTATTTATTAGTTCTAAGGGCAACTGGTTGCACTGGATGTTCTTTGGGGGGATAGTGCTGAAAGAGCATAAATACAAAACTCACTACAGCTTTTTAAAATCTGTAATAATTAAAAACATTACTCTCAATAATCAAGAATTGATTCATTCTGGATCGATTCTTGGTCTAATGACATCTAACTCTCAGATTGTATGAGACTGCGATGGACTGGAGACCTGTCCAGGGTGTACCCCGCCTCTCGCCCATAGGCAGCTGGAGATAGGCACCAGCACCCATTGTGACCCCAATTGGGACAAGCGTGTAAGATAATGGATGGATGGTTGGATGGATGGACTGTATGAGAATGATTTAGTCAGGGTGAAAGGATGCTTAGATCCCTACATATTCATTCTGTGCTCTGTCTTTAAATCTGCAGCAGCAGGACAAAGACCAGGTGTCTGCTTCTCACTAAATAAGTGAGTTAAGTTAAAGTATTTTCATTTTTAAAGCTTAAACAAACAGATCATCAAAAACTATGAATGTTTTTGATGATCTTAAGGTTCCTCTGATATTCAAACTCTGGATAACCTGACCAAGAATATTCAAATGTTGAATAAAGATGCCACTACACACAGCAAATGGGGAAAAAAATGTGTGTTTGAATATAAAAACTTACTTTCTATCAATGAGTACTTGAACTTTTCGGTTATTTACTCGCTTGTCACTCCTGTGGCGATTCTAAAAGAAAGAGGAAGACAAAAGCAGTTACTCAGGGTAGATTACAGGAAATTACAGTTCTTTTTATTGAATCATTTTCTGCACAGACAAGTCCTCCAATCACCGACTAACAGGCAGCCATATGATTTCTTTAATAGCATCTGGGAGTAGATATGTTGCTGTAAATAACCTGGGAGGAAACCTGCTGATGAACCTTGTCTTCTTTAAAATAGCTGATGAGTCAAAGCACTGACGAGGCTTTTATTGATTGTCTCTTTGTGTTTCAGATAAAAAACTGATTTCTCTGAAAACCCATGCGAAGAAACCTCCATGATAGAGGAAACCAGTTGAAGCGGTTTTCACCTACGTAGCATTTACCAAACAACTTATTTATTTCCAATTAAAATGTTTGCGTCTATATTTGGTTTTAAACTTTATAGTTTTGATCCATTACACAAAATCCAACTAAGATCCTTTTCTTGTTTTTGCAAGCAAAGCAAAAAAATAAAAAAAAACTAGCAAACAAAAAAAAACGTTAAAATGCCTTGAACCGATCTAAAATAAACTGATCAAGAACACTTCAAACCAAAGCAAGGAAATCCTACTGCTTGGAAAGGAAATCTGACAAATTGAGATATTAACCCATGACTTCTACACAGAATCAATTTCCCCACAAATAAAAATGATCATGCTTGGTCCTCTTAGTTATAGGTACTAAATAATCAGATTGTTTTAACTCTAATGCATCAAACTAAAAAAAACAGGAAATTGGTGTATAGACCAGTAAAGCTTGGTCGGTCCTTCTCTGGAAACAGGGGCCTATTTGAAGGAAGTTTGACAAGATCTGTGTCATTTCTGACAGATGAAAAAATGTGGAGCTAACTATTTTGTTAAAAAAAAATGTAATAAGAAAGATATTGGATTCAACGAGGCTAAAGTTTAATGACCTGTTCTTCTTTGCTCAGAGGATTGGTACACGCTGCCTTTGGGCTGTCTGATTGACTAAATCAACAACAAAAGGAGGCTAGAGTCTCTTTTGTCCATAAAGTTGGGAGGAACTCCAAAGAAAAAATCTATGTTAAACAAATTCTCATAATCTATTTAACCAGAGTGAGCTACTGGTAAATTTCAGTTGGACAAAGGCTTGTCAAACTTTCTTCACAGGTGCTTAAGTTGCTTCAGTGTTTGTTTAGGTCACCATACGTGGCCAAACTTGAGGATCTTGAGTAACAAGTGGACCCAGAACAAACGGTGCACCTCGCTGGAGCACCAGATGGTTCAGCATTGCAGATAAAAAGCCTCCTGTTTCTGTCCCTGGAGGTAATGTTTAACCAATTACCTCAGCTATTTCTTCCTAATGTCTAAGTCCATGGATCCCCATCTTTCTGTCCCTCAACCACACCTATTCTAACACATGTTAAAGAAAACTACTAGTCCATCACTTCAAAGCGGAGTTCTACTCTGTTTTAGTTTGAATGAACATGTGTGCAGTTCACACGATTTAGATGTGCTTACCCTCAAACAAGAGGAACTTTTACTCTTTCTCAATACACTTTAACTCCCAGATGACACAACTCAAGAAATAAAGAGAACTAAAACCTAGAAAACTATGGCTGATGCAAAATCCCATGAAGAAGAATGTCAATTTAGAGAACATTAAATCTATCTTTAAAGACCATCACTAGTTTCAGGCAGGATGAGCTTCCTTCACCTGTTTGGCAGAAATCAGTCAGAAAGGTTGTGTAATTTGCCCTCAGGTTTAAATTACGTTTCAAACAATCAAGTCACACTTGAAAGGAAATGCCTCCCTGTTTTCTCATCTAAGTTTTCATATGATTAACCAAACAGATGGAGAAACATCTTACTGAGATGTTTCTTACTGGGAAATACTCAGGAGGGGAATCTGCTGGTGGTGCTTACGCAAATAGCAGAGAATCACTGAAATACGTTTAACCGCAGATGCTGGTCATTATCTGCTTGAGTCACAGGACATGTCATCAACCAGTGACAGACGCCACCAGCTCTGTTGATCCGTCTATTGCTTTTACAAGCAATGGTTGATGAAACACACAGATATGCCTCTGCATACATGATGCTTTAACTTTACACGGGTGATCATGGGGTATTTCCAGTAAGTCCTTGGTTTTTCACTGGGTCATTTAACAACAGGTGCTGTATCTTGAAAACCTCAAAGAGAGAGAGGTTAGCGATGTATACGGCTTCAAAGTAATTTTCAAACTAAATTTAAGATGTTGGAAATGGTTATACCTCCATTACTCTAGATGCTGACTTGAGCCTGATAACTAAATAATTTTTTAATCAGAACGCTGGTTGCAGCATGGTTGCAGCATTTGATTGATTGATTGATTGACTTTACTGATCTCAAAGTGGAAAAATTTGAAGGCTTTTAACAACAGAGGGCCGGATTTATCAAGATCCAATTTTGCGTGCAGTAATTTGCGCTCGCAAACTGGAATTTTGCGCGAGGGGCTGAACCATGGTTTGCGGGTGATTTAACAAGAGAGATTGCGTAACTGGTGGCAGGTGCAAAACTGTTGGAGACACCCTATTTAAATGATGGTTTTGCGCGTTTTGTGGTTTGCGGCAAAGTAGTTTGTAGTTTGTACAAACTAGTGCATTAACAAATTTAAATCTTACAGTGACACCCCTACCCCCTCCAGATATATATATATATATATATATATATATATATATATATATATATATATATATATATATATATATATATATATATATATATATATAAATCTTTGGCAACCTTTATTCCCTAAGGTGGTATGTGGCTGAATTTCTACTTCACTGCAGTAAAAAAACAAACAAAAAGAAAACAGATGTTTTGTATTGGCCTGTAGAAAAATGCACATACCAAATGGCTCACAAGAAGTGACTGTGGATGAGATTAAGTGCAATTTTGCAAGGAGTTTTGTGATATCTGGTATTGCGTGGGTCCTCCTTGTGGCTGGCTCCAAATCCATTCGGAGTTCCTCCAACAGCTTCAAAATGTCAATGCTGGATAAACGACATGTTTTCATGATCGTTTTCTCGTTCATTCCAAAAATATTCACACGGAGTGAAAAAATGCGTTCTCTGCGTCTCCTTGCTTCATTTCGATGTCTCCTTTTTGCGACAATAACCGCTGCCATGTGTGCGCAATTACGCATACAGACCATTTGCACCTTCTTTTGAAAGGTGTTAAATATAGAGTCAGATACCGTTAGCAAAATTGCTTTCAGGTTTGATAAATCACTTTGCGAGTGCTAAATTAATATATTTACATGTTCTCCTCCCACAAGACGCCCATATTCATTGCAGAAAAAGTACTAAATGGATAAGAGGCGCTATTTAGCACGTTTTATAGACCACATCCTTTTAGCACGCTGTTGATAGATCAGTTTGTACATTTTTTAGCGTGCGCAGTGAAATAGCTCACGTTTTTATACACGCAAACCTTTGATAGATCCGGCCCAGAGTGTGGACTTCCTGATAGTAAAGAATTAAAATAGTCCAGCCTTGAAGTAACAAATGCATGGACTAGTTTCTCAGCATCACCCCTGGACAAGATGTTTCAATTTTTTTGGGAATATTTCGGAGAAGAAAGATAGACATTCTAGAAACCTCTTTGATATGTGATTTAACGAGATGTTCTGATAAAAAAATAACACCAGGTTGTTTTTGCTTTATCATTTGAGATCAGTTTATTCCCATCCAAATAAAATGACTGAATAATCAGCTTCTTTTTCTGATTCTTTGTCTGATTCAAAGACAATAATTTCTGTTTTGTCTGCATTCAGGAGCAGAAAGTTAAGAGTCATCCAGGTTATTATGTCTACAAGACATGCCTGTAATCTATGTAATGGGTTAGCTTAATCTGGATTTACACACAGATACAGCAGAGTTTCATCAGCATCACAGTGGAAATTAATCCCATGCTGTATAATAATAACACCGATTGGGAGCATATGTATAGTAAAGAGAATTGGTCCTAGTTCTGATCCCTGTGGCACTCCACAGGTAACCTTTGAGCATGAGGAAGATTTATCATTAGCGTGAACAAACTGAAATCTGTCAGATAAATAAGATTTAAATAAGCCTAGTGCTGTTCATTTAATTCCTACAAAATATTAAAGTGTTTCTAAAGAATATTATAATCAACTGTATCAAATACAGCACTGAGATCTAACAGGACAGTACAGTACAGATACAAGTCATTATCTGAGGCCATGACAATATCATTAGCAACGTTCACCAGAGCCATTTCAGTGCTATGATGAGCTCTAAAGCCAGACTGAAACTCTTCAAAAAGTTCATCATGGTCTAAGTGGTGACATACTTGTTTAGTCACTGTTTTTTCAAGAATTTTAGATAGAAAAAGGAAACATTGAAATAGTTCTCTTCTGGAATCTTGTGTGGCCGGTTGGCATCAGGCCAATAAGATTTCAAAGACCTTAAAGGTGTAAGACCATCTATATCAAATCTGGACAAGCTAACTGGTTTGATACTTTTATCATGTCAGAACAATGGCACCCAGCTTGCAGATTTCATACCTGCTGCAAACTAACTGCTCTGTCACTTGAAATGAATCTTTGATTCTGGTAGAGGGATTCTCATCTAACAGCAAGGCCCAAACCTAAAAAGTTTAACTATTCAGTCTAAAAAAGGGTAACCTGTCAGCACAGAGGGGAAGAAAGCTTGAGTCCATTTTAATAAGGTAAAGAGAGAACAGTAATATTTGAAATTCTGCTTACTATATCGTCAGTTGCATCCTTAGCGGCGGTGACTGACAGCACGAGGACAAGAGGCACGACGGTGGTGAACCAGGATAGGGAGGAGATCTGGGGAATCAGCTGGACATCACAGACAAAGTCTTCAGTTTACACTTGTTCCAGTTAAGTAAAACACAGCAAATTGGAATAAAGAACTTTTACCTTATTCTGTAACATTGGCATGTATCTGTATTTAGCTGTTTTTAGTCAATTCTTTGGGGAAGTTGAGTCAGCTTGGGTGAAGAACACAACAACAATTTTCAAACCTAGTCAGATTAATTGTTTAAGGTCTGGACTTTGACTAGGCCATTAACCCTTCCATTGCAGCTCTGGCTGTACTTTTAGTCGTTCTGAAGGCATGGAAATCCCCTTTTTCCAAAGTCTTTAGCACCTTAATAAAGTTTTTCTGTCAGGACTGTTATGTATGCAGCTCTACTCATCTTTCTATAATCTCCAGTCAGCTTCCCTGTTCTCCAATACAACCAGAACTTCTTTTTTTGTTACAAACTGAAAACTGTACTTTGTATAGCTTTCTTTCAACAAAGATTCTCTTCAAAAACTCTTCCATAAAATCTAGTGGGGTCCATGAATAAGGCAAGGTAGGTTTACTTATACCCATTTCAGGAACAAGACAACAAAGTGTAGTACATTAAAATCATTGATAATAAAATGAAAGAAACTCAATTAATCTGAGTTTTAGTACAAACTCAAATTTAAATACCAGTATAAACAGATAAATGTTTCATCTGAGTTTAAAGCAATTTAGGGTTTCAGTGCTTCTACCATTTACAGGAGCATTACAATCAAAAGCTGCTTCTCCATGTTTGGTTTTTCGGCTATGCAGAGAAAACCTGGGAATGACTCAGAATATTTCGTTTCATAAAAGAAAAAAAAAGGTTTTTGTTTTTTAGTGTACATGATATTCATTTTTTTTTATTGGGACTTGTTTTGTAGCCTAATATTAATTGTAGTAACCGCTGCATTCTAGTGTGAATAAATTTTCAATGTTGTGCTCCAAGCACACGCGGACTAGAAAACAGCCAATCAGAGAGAGAGAAGGCGGAACTTAAGGCAGAACAACCAATGAGAGTTGAGTTAAAGAGCGCAGCACAGTTCCATGAGCTGCTACATGAAAGGGACAGGAGAGACCAGGCAGAGGAGCTGCGAGAGGAAAAGAAGCCACTGCTGCAACAACTACTGCTGTAAATTATAAACATGTTGCTCACATCCAATTATTGGTCGGGACAATTAGGTTGGTTCGAAATTTTGGTAGGGACATGTCCCTATGGTCCCTATGCAAACCTACGCCCATGGTCTCTGCAGCTCCTCCAAAGTTAAGGCCCTTGGATTGTGCAGCCCCTGATCACAGTTCAGAATGATACAAATTTAACCCTTCAGCACAGGTAGTTGAAGAAGATGGAAACTTTAAAATACACTGCTCAAAACAATAAAGGGAAATTCAAATAACACATACTAGGTCTAAATGAATGAAATATTAACATTCAATACTTTTTTCTGTACAAAGTTGAATGTGCTGACCAGTGCATGAAATTGGCACCAGCCACCCATGCAAATGCCGGTAACTTTTGTGATCAGCAGGTGGAACTGTCCATCTGCCAGTCATATTGGCGGGTAGCCAAAAAGACAACACACAACAGAAAGCAAGTGTTATATTGTTGTCCAATCATGTAGCCTATTGTTTTTAAAGCAAGTCCTGCATTTTTCTTGAATAATTCAAACAAAACGTGGCAAAATATGTCTATCCTTTAACTGTTAAAACAGCTAAAATCATTAAAGTGCAGTTACTTCTTTTCTGAGCGCACCATGAGCATGCACATGCTAATGCCGAAGTTTGACACAGACGTTACGTGATGCAGAGCAGAGCTGAATGTGAGCATTAGAGTGTTTAGCAAACCAACAGCAGGAAGCAGAAAACTTTATTTTCCCCCCCAAAAACCATGTAACTTGAAACGTTAAACGTGTAAAGTTGTTTGCAAATTAGACTTGTTAGTTAAGTGATGACTAGGTCAAACATGCCAATATATCAATATGTTGAGCTATTTAATAACTTAAACACATTATATTAGCAGTTGGTGTATTGTTGGAATAAATCCAATCCTTCCTAATTTCTAAGCAGACTGCCTGCCACCAATTGCTCTCCACATATTTAAAATAAGTCCTTTGGTCACAATAGAGAGAAGAGATTCAGGAAAGAGAAAAGAACAACTATGCAACTGAAGAGACTTTAAAGTTAAATGCTGCAGCACTTTTGACTGCTTCACTTCCTAATTCTATATGAAAAAATTTTGCTTTCCACATTTTCATTTATCTCTATTAAAAAATATTGCAAGCACGTGCTTCTACAGCTCACAGTTTCTCATCGTCAATTAACATCAGTCCTCTGTTCTTTGCCTTTCAGGTCCCCCGGCTGGTTTTTATACAATTTTTCTCTGTCATTATGTCATGGCGATTTAACCAGCAGATTGAGCGCTGCTTTTCATGGATAAATCACGTCGTTCCTGTTTCGATTTCACTCATGCTTGTCACAGATTTAATTTTAAGGAAGCCTGAATTTAGAAACCAAAGTTTTGTGAAAAGTAGTTGTTTCCTATTGCCACTGACTTTAATTAGTCATTTGAACCTAATTTTTAAAATTGATTTGTATAACGTTTTGGTCTAACCGCATAAAAACTTTCTGCCTGGTCAATCAGCAACACTAGTTAATTTCTCATCATCCATATATTAGATGAATAATTCTCGAGTTACTAGAACCCAAATTTCTTAATCGGACTCAATAAAGCCGTTAAATAATTGATTTAACCAGGCGAAACGTGATCTACAGAAATCCATTTAATATATATAAAAAAAATAGAAAATAAAATACTTATTTTAGGTATGGCTTATCACGTACATTCAATCTTCACTTCACCACATAGATGGGGTGAATTTCCAAGTGGATGTCTCGTCACTCTTAATGATAGTCCCCTGGCAGACTCTCAATTTTTATCACTTTTAAACTGAATCATGGTCATTTCCAAGCCTCGTGGAGTTGTTGTGGCTTTTCTTTTGGTAGTTCACCATGTTTTACTGTCATTTAGTGACCTCTTAGGAAGCTACACTATATTGCCAAAAGTATTTGCTCACCTGCCTTGACTCACATATGAGCTTAAGTGACATCCCGTTCCTAATCCATAGGGTTCAATATGACGTCGGTCCACCCTTTGCAGCTAGAACAGCTTCAACTCTTCTGGGAAGGCTGTCCACAAGGTTTAGGAGTGTGTTTATGGGAATTTTTGACCATTCTTCCAGAAGCGCATTTGTGAGGTCGCACACTGATGTTGGACGAGAAGGCCTGGCTCTCAGTCTCCGCTCTAATTCATCCCAAAGGTGTTCTATCGGGTTGAGGTCAGGACTCTGTGCAGGCCAGTCAAGTTCATCCACACCAGACTCTGTCATCCATGTCTTTATGGACCTTGCTTTGTGCACTGGTGCACAGTCATGTTGGAAGAGGAAGGGGCCAGCTCCAAACTGTTCCCACAAAGTTGGGAGCATGGAATTGTCCAAAATGTCTTGGTATGCTGAAGCATTCAGAGTTCCTTTCACTGGAACTAAGGGGCCAAGCCCAGCTCCTGAAAAACAACCCCACACCATAATCCCCCCTCCACCAAACTTTACACTTGGCACAATGCAGTCAGACAAGTACCGTTCTCCTGGCAACCGCCAAACCCAGACCCGTCCATCAGATTGCCAGATGGAGAAGCGCGATTCGTCACTCCAGAGAACGCGTCTCCACTGCTCTAGAGTCCAGTGGCGGCGTGCTTTACACCACCGCATCCGACGCTTTGCATTGCACTTGGTGATGTATGGCTTGGATGCAGCTGCTCGACCATGGAAACCCATTCCATGAAGCTCTCTGCGCACTGTTCTTGAGCTAATCTGAAGGCCACATGAAGTTTGGAGGTCTGTAGTGATTGACTCTGCAGAAAGTTGGCGACCTCTTCGCACTATGCGCTTCAGCATCCGCTGACCCCGCTCCGTCAGTTTACGTGGCCTACCACTTCGTGGCTGAGTTGCTGTCGTTCCCAAACACTTCCATTTTCTTATAATACAGCTGACAGTTGACTGTGGAATATTTAGGAGCGAGGAAATTTCACGACTGGATTTGTTGCACAGGTGGCATCCTATCACAGTTCCACGCTGGAATTCACTGAGCTCCTGAGAGCGACCCATTCTTTCACAAATGTTTGTAAAAACAGTCTGCATGCCTAGGTGCTTGAATTTATACACCTGTGGCCATGGAAGTGATTGGAACACCTGATTCCAATAATTTGGATGGGTGAGCAAATACTTTTGGCAATATAGTGTATGTGTCTGCTGCACCAGTTGTCTGGTTGGTGATTATGTAGCCCACTGCATTCATTAATCTCTGCTTCTAGTTTCAGATCATCATCAACTGCATGTCTCAACATCAGAACAGTCACAGACATTCCCCTCAGTGCATTGTTTGTATCTAAATCTGCACCAAGTTAGACTCGTTTCACCGTGGCGGGGGCCCTAGGCGCCCTCCATCTATTGCAACAAGTGCTTTATTGCATTCCTTTCTCATTGCTGAAAGTGTTAGGACGACCAATATCACCGTGGCAGGCGGTTATGGTGCCTTTTTCCCATCACTGCAGGTGCTCATGTTGCCTTTTCCTACCGCTGCAGGTGCGCTGGGTGCCATCCATCCATTTCTACAGGTGCTAACGGCACCAATTTCCATCGCTGCAGGTGCTATGGCACCTTCATGCACGCCGCTTCATGGAGCCCCTTTTTCCATCACTATAGAAGCTTGGCACCCTCCATCCATTGCTCAAACGCTCATGGGCCCTCCATACATCTCTGCAGGAGCGTCATGGTACGTTAGATCTGTCGTAGCAGAATTTCTGGCAGCCTCGTGCGATTATGGCGCCTTCCATCATCACGGCGGGCGCCTCATGGTGCCTTCTATCATTTGTGTGTGTTTATGGCAAGAGCATCGAGGCGGGCATTTTATGCCGCCTTCTAGCATCGTGGTGGCAACTCCATGTCTCCCATACCCA